GTGTTGCTATGATGTTCTGTGTTCCCCGTGGGTTCTCGGTTTACTCTCGTTGGCAGTGTTCTCTCGATGATGCCCCTCGGTTCCCGTCTCCTGTTCGGCCTCACCGGGGGCTTTTTATAGCCCCGGTGTTGGCTAAATTTGGTCCTGAAATATGGGGCTCGTGGCCATTGTGAGGTCGGTCGTCCCAGGATAGGTCAGTCCCAGGATATCGGCGGCCATTTCGGTGTTGACTGTTGGCCACGGGCCCCTTGACTCCCTCCATGCGACGTTTTAATTGATATCATTTTAGGGTTTCCAAACCCTAAACCTTACCACGCCGGATCAGGCCGGCCAATCTCCTTCAAACCGGCCTTAATGGACTGCATTTGGACCCTGGCCGAAAAAGAAAATAAAAAATAAAAAAAGAAATTAACATATAATAAACAAATAAATAATAACAAAAATAATACTATTATAAAATAAACTATATAATATATATTTCAAAAATATTTTTTAAACTATATATTATATTTTTAAAAAAAATTCAAAACTATATATTATATTGTTTTCAAAATGATTTCAAAAAAATATTATATAAGTTTTCCAAAATGTTTTTAAAACTATATATATAAGTTTTCAAAAAATGTTTTTAAAACTATATATTATATAAGTTTTTCAAAATGTTTTAAAAAACTATATATTATGTATATTTTCAAAATGATTTCAAAACTATATATTATATAAGTTTTTCAAAATGTTTTAAAAAAAATATATATTATATATATTTTCATAATGATTTCAAAACTATATATTATATGAGTTTTCAAAATGTTTTAAAAACTATATATTATATATTTTCAAAATATTTTTTAAAAACTATATGTTATATATATTTCCAAAAACCGTTTTCAAAATTATATATATTATAAATATTTCAAAAACATTTGCAAATATATATATATATAAATAAATAAAAATCGGATGAAAATAGGTATTTACAGACATTAACACATTAATAACTATTTTCACTGTTCTGCCTGCCGACGTGACGAGATTCCATAACTCTGCAATCTCCATATAATTCGGAGTTGGATAGGTGATTCTTGAGGAATTTTAAAACGAATAGCAAAGTTAATTTGTGTTTTCATAATATATTTAAGCTTACTTTAAAATAAATATTTAATTATTTTAAAATAGTTGAAATAAATTATTAATATTTTTTCTATTATTCTTTTAGGATCGAGCAATTACCTTTGAAAAAAAGATCATCCAATCATTACTTGACACGCGACTTTGTTCTTCATTTCTTTCATTTGAAGAATTTAATTTTTCTTTTCTAGTACGAACCAAATGATTTCGGTGATAAATGAATTGTTGTTATTTTTGAGGTTTCTAGTTCAAGCATCATAAATATTAGCAGTATGAGCATTCAATCTCAAATGATTAAGAGTCAGTTTGACATTGCTTCTGAAAAGTGGCCTTTAAACGAACTCTTAAAATTGTTGTTTAAAAGTGCGGTTTAAAATTTAACTGTTTGAGGTCGTTGTTAAAAACTGAGTTTGAAAAGATAAAATGTACATTATAAGCATTATGTTGAAAATTAAAAATATAACATTTAAATTATATTTATACTTATATATGAATTATATCAATTTAAACTAGAATAAAAATATAAAAATAAAAATAATATAATATAATTATAATAAAAATGTATTTTATATAACTCACTATTAATATTTTGATATATAAATCATGAATTTTATTTATTTTTAAATAAATAATTAAAAGAAAAAATTATTTTTAAGGATGTTTGTATAAAATTATTAAAATAAAATATAAATATATAATTAAGTGGAGCTCATGTATTAACCGGGGTAAAAATATAAATTTACTTCAAAACCTAAAGTTGGAATGAAAAAGTTAGAATTTTTAGCTTTTGCGGTAGGTTTGAAATAAACATTTTCGCCACATTTTCCCCAATTTTTACCAGCTTGACATTAGTTTTGCGATCAAAACGAGCTTTTTAGCTAAAAGTGTTTTTAGACAGCATTACCAAACATGCCAAAGAATTATATTTGAATAGATCATATCATGTACTTAACCCGGATTAATATAAAGAAAGAATTTTTTTTCTTTTTTTCCACCTGTGATGGTTAAAATTAACATATTCTAAAAACGCAGCGATTTTTAATTGCTCGTCATCTAGTTATTATTTGACACGTGATCTTATTCTTAATTTACTTTAGTTTTAAGAATTTAATTTAATTTCCGTCTGTAAAAAAATTCATTCAAAAATAATAAAATGGTGAACGAACAACAGAGTGGTTAAGTCTGTTGTTGGCATTGGTCGTTAGAAATTGAACCTGGCCCGTTGCATTGCTTAGTAATACTTTTTTCAGCTAAAAATACGATAGTCGGACTCCACTATGAGTTACAGGTATGCATTAAAGAAGTGATAAAACCAGAAAACAAACATGAACTTTATTGATGCAACAGTCAAATTAACATAAATGAGATGCCGTAAAAGAAATGGAACCCGGTAAAGTTGAATAACCATTGACCTGGGTAAATTCTCAACTGAAACACCTACATTATGTATGTCAAGTGTGATTCAACACCGAGTATATGAGTGATTTGAAGAGCATGAACCTCGGGAGCAAATATGGCGATAACGACGTCACTGTTCGAAAGGAACATCTGACTAGAAGGTAAGATCTTTAGGATCCTCAGCAATCTTAGCCAGGGTTTGCAAGAATGCAGCCAGATCAGCACCGTAGATAACTCGATGATCTGCCGTAACATTTACCTGCAAAGTTTTAAAGTTCAGCAGTAAGTGCCGGCGACTATTCAAACATAATTGTTTTATAAGAGACGGGGACAAGTTCTTCTCTAATTTTGTTAGGAATAGATACATCAAGGCAGCTCATCGTTATAGACAAAAGGAATTTCATTACCTGCACCTGGTTCTCCATGCTAATACGGCCATCCTTGCAAGCTACGACAGTAGGCTGAGAAGCACCAACTGCCATGTTCTCTGGGACTAGGGCAGAACATACTACAAAGGAGAAAATATTAATAATTAAAAAACAAACTTACTGTTCCAGGTGGCAGAATGGCATCAAACCGATCCACTCCAAACATCCCAAGGTTAGACAGGGTGAAAGTACCTGCAAAAGGAGCAAATATTAGCAACAACAACAAAAAAAGAATTAAGGCCTCAGCTATGTTGAAAGGTAACTACGGAGAAAACTATATGTTAATGATGCTTTTATAAGAAACTAGGGTGATAGGGCAAAACGCAGAGTTATGCATACAGATCAAACTCCTAGATGGTTCAAGCGTACTTAGTCGCTTAGGGCTGGAAGGGTAAGAATAGATTAAGAATTAAAGAAAGAAAACTTAATTATAAAATTTTAGGCAACCATTGACTCCATATTCCAGTTATTATACATCAATGAGCCAATACAATTCAAAATTTGTAAAAGATCCATCAAAATACCGTGTAAAGCCCACACTTATAACCAGTCACTACCAGCATAAGTAGAAAAGGATTTTCCAAGCATTAATATGCCTAGGATTTGTCCAGCCTTTTTCTTTGGTGATGATGGATGATATCTTGCTTTTTGTAGGAAAAAACAATTTCATTGTTTTACAGATTAATGGATTCGGTAGTAGTTTCAAGAATTTATGATCATATTTGGTATTTATATTAGGTGGATCCAAGTCTTAACATTGGAATATTTAAAAGTTTAGGGACCAATTTAAAATGAATGCCATACTTTAAGGACATGTAATGCAATTAACCCATTTAATTGAGTTAGATTTCAAGTTTCGACAATTGGAAATTTTATCTCAAATAATTCAATTATTTAAGTAATATTTTATCACGTGAGGGTTGAATTTATTCTAATTTAAAAATATTCAAACTAATTATTAGGGTGTAATTAATTTTCTGAAAAATATTTTCTCATTTTCTAATGTTTGGTTAGAGGAAAATAGATGGTCAATGTAATTTATTTTTCTGGTCAACTGAATTTCCTTTGTATTTTCTGGAAAATGACTTATCATCTAATTTTCCGTAAGTCATTTTACGAAATTTTTTACTTCAAATCATAAACACTCAAAATATTATTATTTTATATATGTAATATTAATATATTACTTTAATATCATTTTAATAAAAATATTAATTATTAAAATATATTTATTGATATTTTTAATAATATAATATCATATTTTATTGCTATAATTAAATTATTATAATGTATAATATAATACTTTTATTTTAATAATATATAATTTATTATTAATAAAATTAATATTATTTAATAATTTAATAAAAATAATATTATTGAATTGTTGAATATTTAATATATATTGTTTAAAATATAATACAATATTATTATTTTAATATTATAATAATATTAATATTTTCATAAAAATTTAATATAATTTATGATAATTTTATTTTAATAAAACACAATAATCATAATATTTTTATTTATAAAATTATAGACATAATATTTTAATAATAATATGACAAATAATATTGAATAAATTATTCTAATATTTTAAAAATAATATTATTATTATTTTAATAAATAATATTATTCATAGTATTTGACGTTTATAATAAATAATTTTTAAAAAATTTATCAACCAGTAGAAAATGAATTACACAACATCATTCAAACACCGTAAGATGATTTTCAGAAAATATTTTCTAAGAAACATAATTCATTTTACGTAATCTGTTTTCTGTGAAGCAAACGAACCCTTAATATAAATTATAAATAAAGATCTACTTTGATAAAATGAGTAGTAATTATTTTAAAACTATGAATAATTAGCAATGACCATATGATAACTTTATTGAATCACATAAATTCATTTTGCCAAAAAGCGTAAGTGGGGGAACCAGAGCATAAGGTTTAGGGGGGAAATTACAAAATAATAAGATGCACCAATTTGGGAAATGTGTTCATCACAACTAAGCTGCAGCTTCCAACAACCTCTAACAAGCTCAGATTTGGATCTCAAATGGAGTTGCACCCCATTTTATGCCTTGTTTACACGAATTTGTTGCCCCTCCAACACCTGCAAAAGCCAACCCTTATATCACTATTACTTACATATTCACATTAACCATGAGTATCTGATACGAACAACGAGTATGATCGGATTTCTTTAAGTTCTTCACTGCTTTTGGATGATCTTTTAAGGTCATATCCCCATAGCTCCAGAGTAATTCAAGAAAACTGTATAAACCGTAAGAAATAAAGAGCCTGTAGCTGTGTAGCATATATGAATATGAATATAAATATAACATCCAAGGTTGTAAATATCAAAGGGAACAAAAACGTAGGATAATTGAAAGGAATTCACAATCTATGTTACTCGGACGTGTCACATATCCGACACATATGTGTTCAATTTTTTCCCAAGATTGTCATATTTGGAGGATTTTTTTTTTGGGATCATATCTCCATACACATGTCCAGCCGATAACCAGCAGACAAATGCACAACAGAATGGATATACAAGAGTAAAAGGCATCTTATTCTAAAGCTGTCGGCAATAAATATCTCCTTACTCCTAATGCCAATAGGAAAGCAAGAATAAGATTTCATGAACATAAACACACACTCGCAGAAACAAGGCAAAAGTAGAGAACAACTTACGGCATTGTTAAAAAACGAGATGGAAGCTTCGACTTCCTCTTCCGAAGAGAATGATACAAACCCGAATCCCCCTGATTTGGAGGTCCTCGGGACTCGGGAAACCTTGGCGCTCATTACCTTCCCTTTCTCAGAAAAGAAGTTCTTCAGTGTATCCGAAGTTACTGTCTTGGCAAGGTTTCCCACATAAACTTTGTGCGGACTGTCAACAAACTGGGAGTCTTCTGCCTGAAGGGCAGACAAATCCACTAGCGCAATAGGCTTTTCAGTGATGTTTACCTTGATCTCCCGCCCTCCTATTTCCTGCAAAGAAAAGAAAATCACCATGAAAACCAGAATACCAACATTATTTGTGATTCCTCTCACCATTTTTAGAACAATGATATCACCCAGGGGCGCTGGCGTGGTTAGTCTAAAAAAATTCAAATTATCGTATGATTTTTTTTCTAATGATATTTTGTTTTGAAACCTATAATTTTTTTTGTCACTGGTATAACCTTTGCTTAAATAACTATCAACATGAGTATATGATTTGGAGCTTACAGTTCCGTTTAGTTTCTCAATTGCCACATTTGCTTCCTCCACTGTTTTCATTGTAACAAAAGCAAACCGGCGGCTCCTTCCAGAGTACTTATCATACATCACCTAAAGAAAAGAACATATAAAGGCAAAATTACTTCCATACACAATGCATTTTCGCTTTTCATACTTAAAATTATTAAGTGAAATTACAGGTAAAAAAACAAAGGAAGTACCTCCGCCTTCTCAACAGCGCCGTGTTCCTGGACAATCTTTTTCAACTGGTCATTGTTCACATTTCTGGGTATGTTGCCAATGTAAAGGCGCCTTTCGGCCTCGGAAGAAGGGGAGGCCACCGTTGAGGTTCTCTCCTCTGCCGCAACAAACAACCTCAGTTTTCTTGGACGTGAACTCAATGTGAGCTTTCTGGGCAGATTAGGTTGGAGGGTTTGGAGAAAGGGTTGTTTTGATTGAGGTTTGAGGGAGAGTCTCGTGAGATTTGGTAGTGATACTAGAGAGGATGTTGAAGCCATTTTCTTTGCCTGGGATAAGAAGTAATGGCGGAAAAAGAGGAGTAAGAGCGGGTTTTTATCGCATTATCCACCGAAGGGCTTTGGCTGTTACTCACCTGTGGGTGACTGTATACCATGGCTTCAGATTGGGTTTAAGATCCGTTGTGTTCTTTTATTTCCCGATAGAGAAATTTTCCTTTTATGTATTTTATTGGTATTGGATTGTAAATAAATAAATTATTACATTTAAATAATAAATATACACGTGTCTAATTAAGAATAAATATACATGTTTCTAATTAATAATAAATATACACGCGTCTAATTAAGAATTTAATTAACGCGTCTAATTAAGAATCGAATTAGTATATATTTAATTAATTCCAACAGTAATTCAACTAAGGTTAAATAATAAATACATATATGTAGGACTCAATTATTAATTTTAAAAATCATTTATAGTAATGATAATTATTTACTCGAAAACATTAATTAAGTTGTCGATACAATATTTATTTGAAAAAAATCCATCATATAATCACCAAGGACTTAAATTATTTAGGATAACCGGGTAAAGTATACAAATGAATCTCTTGACAATTAAATATTGCAAAAATGATACTTTAATTATAAAGAATTATTTTGTTGAGTCCTTCGACTATTAAAAGTTACAAAAATAATCATTTGAATATTCATTATGTTCTAAACTCGTCATTTTATGTTAAAATTTTGACGACATTATGAGCTATTCATTAACATACTAACTGAGATAGGATAAAATATAATCTCATAATTTCAAATGACTATCATATCTCAAGTCACCATGTTAACATTCAATTAAGATGACTATTAATTTTCTAATAGAAAAAGACGAGTTTAAAACATTTAATAGTCGATGGACTCAACAAAATAATTCCCTATAATCAAGAGACAATTTTATAACATTTAATAGTCAAAGAACTCGAAGAAATAGTATACTATAATTAGAATCATTTATATAATTTACCCGATTATTTATCAAATTTTCAGTTCACGTCTTAAAATTTAAATTTTGGATATCTCCTACGGACAAGAGATCTTTTTATTAATACGGACAAAAGAGTTGAAGCTTCAAGTTGAGGTTGGAAAAATTGAAATTATTTAGATTCCCTCTTTTGATCACCTACCACCATTTCAATACCAAAACTAAAACCTTCTTATAGATCCTTGATTTAGTACAACCAGGCACAACAGACAAAATGATACTAAATAGACTAGAAATGAACAATTCAACATATATAAAGAGCAAGAGAACTAGATGCAAGGGTACAATTCAACATATGAAACGAACACCTTTAAATATAAGCAATAGAAAACAAGAAAAAAACATTCTAAATGAGACTAACATGTATTGCACAAGCTCATCACACTAAAAGTGGCGGCAATGCAGCACCTGACAATTTCAATCCTGCTTGTTACGAGCGAGCTTTGCACGGTGTCTGAGCTCGGCCCTTTTCCATCTAACTATTAGGTAACACATGGAAAAAAGAGTATTTATCTGCAGAAAGTGGAAGATGCCGGCATTTAAAAAAAGGAAAATATAATAGCAATGAAGTTCCAAAAGAGGGGGCACAGAGCTCCTGAACACTGACCAAGATGATGATTGCGATAATGAGAAGAGGACCGGACCAGACTACCGACAAAAAAAGTCCACTTGGATCAAAATAGTTTTGTGTTGCAAATTCTTTCCAGTTGCCACCAAGGAATTTATTCAGCGACTCGGCAAAATAAACACCAAGCACTACAAGACGTCATCAAACAAATAAGGTACAATTGCAAAGAATATTCAAAACAAATTGAGCTTCAGTATTATTTTTACATTCCAGATATGTTTGGTGATGCAAGTAAAACAGTAGTGACTAATCTGTTACAAAGAAGCAATACTTATGTCTTATGTCCAGATGTGCATTAGAATCTTGCTCACTGTTTTGGAAGGCTTGATGACATTGAATGCTTCAATACTGAGGTACAGCTGGGTTACTCAGGTAAGTTATATTTGGTAGAAGTCATTAATCAAAACAACCAACCATACAAAAGTGAATAAATATACAAACAGAAAGGGTATAAATATAATGAATTCAACTAGTTTCTCTTGTAATCCCTTCAATGGAAAGATGACCTTCATCTGAAAGTTTCAGCTGTGTTTCTGTTTCACAGACTCCAAGCATGGCAGCAGCGCTAAAGCTTTATAGACTTATCCATTTACATATATTCTTGAACATGTTCCATTTCAACCTCACCCCAGGGATGAGCATTCAATCAAGTAAAGTCGAGTCGAGTTAAAATATTTTGAGTTATTCAAGTTGACAAGTCGTATTTTTTAACTCGAACTTGACTTAAAAAAATTTCGAGTCGAGTTATTCGAGTTTCTAAGCTAATTTTATTATAATTATTTCTAGTATTATGGTAAGGATTTGTTCCAATTTTTTGAGTTTCTTTAACCATATATATATATATATATATTATTCTTTTCACAATATTATGGAAATGACCATCCAGCTCAGTTGGTAGAGCACAAGGTTCTTAACCTTGAGGTCGTGGGATCGAGTCCCACGGAGGGCATTTCATAATTCGGAGGTCTCTTACGGAAGCTGCTCTCAACCTGGTGTTGGGGTAGCCTACTATCTTACCTCCTCTTACCCCATACATATGAGAAAAAGGGACAGCCATAAATACAATCTAAAATTATAAAATATATTTATAACAATATATTTTAAAGAAATTATTTTAAGAATAAAATATTGATGAGAGTATAAAGGAGCCAAGGAATTGATGAGAAGAAAGAATTCACAAACAATTATAGTCAAAAGACCAAATTTAGTAAAATGCAAAGATAAGGGACTAAAAGAAGAGTACACTTTTAGTGAAAAAATAATAAGGATTGAAGTTACATAGGTATTCTATTGTGGTATATGAGCATGTGGTTCAAATTTAGTAAAAAAAAAGGGACTTAAAATAAAGGATAAATTGAAGAAATAAGGAAATTATGAAAATTGAGGGACTAAATAAAAAAATTGTTATCAAAAAGAAAAATTGAAAGTAAATATGCATTCTACGATGGTTTAGGAGCATATGGTTAAAATTTGGTAAAAAATCGACTTAAAATGAAGGAGAAATTGAAGAAATAATGAAATCAGGGACTAAATCATAAAACTGTCAAAAATACTTAGTCAAATTTTCGGTTTTTTTTAGTAACTCAAAAATTCAAAATTTCAACTCGAACTCGAAAACCAAATTGATAATTCGAGTTGACTTGAATAACTCGAAATTGAAAAAAAAACGATTTTTCGAGTCGAGTTTTTCTCACATCTACCATACCCCCCCCCCAAAAAAACATTTATCTGACTTTATCTACAGAGATTTTAAAAATATCTCCTAAATGGGAAGTCCTGTCTTGGATCCCCTACTTTATGTTCCACTACATAGTTAACTTTCGAGGCTAGAAGTCTAAGGGCTAGGAAAAAACACTGAAAGAGGTGTACGTAGCCTAGCATATGGAAATGAACAGGGCTATTTGGCTTATCAGGTCATCTACTATCATTATTCAAAATCTACTGAAAGTTCTTTCAGATAAATATCATACATTCCATTGATGCCTTCTCAAAGACTAGGTTTCTATTTCCAAATCACCAACTTGGCATGCAATATTGAAAAAATTCCTGTGATGTAAACAAGGAACTCTAATATATTTAAGCCAACTGTAGAATGAAACAAACAGTTGTTGCTGAATAATCAATTTGTTTCTGCCTATTCTTCCATAATTTATGCATCTCAAGAGTCGAGCACTGAATATTGCTGGGACTAGTAGAACTGCAACTTATCACAGTCTCCCTCTAATATATGTATAAAATAAAAGCATCAGTATGTATCCTTCTCACCTTAGTTTAAGATTGCAAGAAACCAAATCACCGTTTGTAATAAGACAAAAGTGCAAATGTTCTTAAATAGGCATTACTAATTCAACGGCATGTTGAGCTTAAGGAAACATTGTTCGCTAAGAGAATCCGGTACTTCTAAACATTGTGAAGCAGCTAAGTTCTATTCAATATCTGGGGAACTCTATCACCTGGTCCATGATTAACAACCAATCTATTGGGCTAATCATAATCAAAGTTCAGACCACGAGGACCTGATGATATGTTAGCATGCAATGTACAAATGACCTCAATCATTGAATCACAAGAGAATTCATTGGAGAAACTTCACATTTAAATAAAGAAAGTAGAAAAGGGATCAGTAACAGACTACTATAATTAAGGGGAGAGTTAAAAAATACTCATATATCGATGATGATTGAAAATGACTCAGAAACAAGAAGCTTACATGCCAGAAGGAACAAAGACAACAGGAAGTTAGTATTCTTCCTGGATAAGATTGTTACTATCAGTAAGAAAACATGGAATCCAAGCAAGCACATTAACCAAGGTTCCTGCCAAAAGGGGGAATTGTTATCAATAGACGATGGATCAAGAACACAAGCTTTGGTTTAGCATTGTTCCGACCACAGATTAAAATGAAAGTCTATGCTTCTCAAATACACTAACATTTATAAACATTAACTTTGGTTACTGAGAACACTCTGAAGATAAAACAATCAAACACGCAAAATTTCAAACATTCAGATTCTCTAAATCTCTCTTCTCCCATCACCTAGAGCTAAACTTCACCCCAAATTATGGGGAACCAATCAGAAACTAATACAGAAAGAGAAAAGAGAGGAGGCGAACCTTCCAGTTGATTGCATGGAAGAACCCCATAAAGTTCTCATAGGCGGGTCGTATGCCTGAACGGAGCTCCGAGGATAGCTTCTGAACGAGATCCGCCATTAACTCCATGTGCTCTTCCATAGCTGATCTCAAATCTTCCATTTCACTTCTTTTATTTCAAACAAATTCAGGTCTCAAAAAGAACATAAAAAGCTCAAAGAGTGAGTAAATGACGATGAGATTGGCGGAGTGTTGCCTTTATATAATCGTCATTTGAATTACCCTAGATTTTAAACGAAGAAGAAATAATGGCTGCGGTTGTTCTGGGTTTACAAGTGCATTGACAAAAACGTCCTCGATAATTTGGTTCAAGTTCGTCTACGTCCTTTGGGAAGCCCTCGAAATAAGGCAAATTTACGGTTCGGGAAAAAATAACTATGGGTTATTGAGAGAATCATTTGTTAAGATAATGTAAATTATTTTCAGCAGAAAATTATTTAGTTCATTTGACGATCATTTAGACGTACGAAAGATACACCATTTTCAAGAAAAGAGTTGATATAAATCACTTAAACGTTTTTTCTTTAAAAAAAACATAAAAAATATGACATCTTTAAGAAAATAACTAGCTTAAATGCATGAAAGATACAACATCTTTTAAGAAATCATCCGAACCACGAGCCTAATTTTGATTGTAGGTTCATATTTTTCTCTGATAAAACAATTATATGCATTATTATAATATTAAATGGTCTTAGTTATTAAGCTGACGTAACAAATATTGATTTTAGTCTGTTAACAATTTTCATTCAAATAAAAGTTATTTAACGAAAATTAAGTTGTTGAAAAAAAAGGTATAAAAGTGATCACAGAGTTAAACAATCAGAGAAAAACGCAAGTATACATCATATAACGCAGCCATGGAGATACATCGTCATTGTTACAACCATGCCATACATCAAGATGCAAAGCAGTATACCAAGTTGAATGAATCTACTACATTTTGCATCCCCTCGCTATTGAAATCCCAGAACAAGGTTCTTATAAGCCATTTCCCACCATATGTAATAAAGCTGTCTGAATCTATAAGATGACGACAATCAAATCAAGACGAAATATCGACGGGGTGCATGTTTTTGTTCCTCATCGGTGATAATGATGACCAGATGCTGGACATTGCATGTAATTGACCCATGTCAGTTGACTTCAAAGACATCTCGTAAAGCTCCCTGAGCTTTTCGGCATCTCCGGACCTGTTGGATATTGTAGCTGATTGATTATCTGAAGAAGACTTATTCGAATTTACAGAGAGATTCGAAGCCAGCATTTTCTTCAGAAGTGTCTGCAACTGACTCCAAAATTTTGCATGCAATTCAGGGTATTCCGCACTGAACGAATCAGCGAATGCTTCAGATACATAGCGTGCTTCCAATAGGCGGGACAATGCATCCAGCATCTGGGGGAAAGCAATTGACGGTATAGTAAATGAAAATAATACGCTGTACCTTAAGCAACTGACGGTATAGTAAATGAAAATTGCATAACATACCATGTTTGGATAAAAAGATCTTGAGAGGCTTAATGAAAGATCTGATCTCTCAATAAGAATAGTCAAGTGCATGCTAGGATGTGTCTGAGGACCATAAAAGTCTATTGCCTTTTGCCAGTTCCTCTCAGCCAATGAAGCATATTGCTTCGCCCGCTGGTGAATGCCATTCTCACCCTTAAGTAAGCCACTTTTCCTATGATCTGAGGCCAAAAATTTCAAGCAGCAATCTCTCTGGTGACAAGCAAGCTGAAAATAAGCATAAGCAGCCTCCTGCTTACGTAATCCACCCAGTGATTCATACAGTGACAATGCCTCTCTAATGGCCTCATTGGCAGTTATTTCATACTTTCTGAGCTCTTTCCTAGCACTTATCTGATGTGGGAAAGAAGGCTCTTCAAGAGCTCCATTTTCATAAACCTCTGCAGTTATATCTTCCCTTGCTAAAAGCATCCCAAGCCTCAGATACGTATGAGCAAACTGAGTATAGACTTCATTCTTCAAGTTTGAGTCAGAGTCATAGTCAGAGCATGCCTCTACCGATATAGCATTCATTTCATATTTTGCTGCCCCATAAAATCTGAGTGATTCACTGTACTCCAGTTTTGCAGTTTCCAAAGCCTGTTTGTATGCAATATGAAGAACTTTATGCGTTTTCAGACCTTCCATTTTCGCCACCATCTCTTCAGCTAATGCACGTCTGCCATGACCCAAATTACAGTATATATACACTACATTGGTGTAGTCTGAAGCTTCTTTGAATGCATTTATTGCATCCGTAAATGCAAGTTCAGCTTTGTTCAACTCTTTCAGTGCTAACCTGTTTCGACCTAGTTCATTACAAGCCCATCCCTTCTTTTTCAGTAAAGACTGCAGATCTGCTAAACCAGAAGGAAGTTCACCCAAAGCCTTTATTGCTTCTTCGTAACAGCTCAAGGCAGAGGAGAGATTGTGTTCTGCATCTGCTGCTACAGTATTCCTAAGGTACTTGAATATGCCACCATCTTTCAATTTGTGAGCTTTCTTCGAGGCAATTTCATTTTCAATCGTCACTTCAGGTTTTTTCTCATGCATTCCAAACAAAGCCTCCACTCTTTCAGGATTAGTAGTTTCCACTGAATCTACTCCAGGTTCATTTGTACAAGTATTAGAAACTCTTATTTTGTTATCACTATCTCCAATGTGCTGGAACAGTCCACTATCAGGAACTTGTTTATTCTTTACTTTTTGACGACCACTATTATCTTCATTGTCCCTCGAAAATGAGTGAGGAATGTTCTTACCACGCGATCTCTTGCCATGTTTTCTGCTGTAAGTTACTGCATGTGTATCTCCACCACTGCTGCTTGCACTATTACCACTGCTGGCCCTATCACTTTGGCAGCTACAGTTCACCAAGGAACAGGAACTGCATTTCGGATTATACTGGCCCAGCTTCTTTGTGAGCCTTTGTACTTCCTTCACAACTTCAGATGACATTTTCAACTCTCTGTTAGAAGGCTTTTTCTGTGATTGTGCAGAGATCTCTTTACCCTTAATTACATGGAGCTCAGCATATACATCTCCAACTAGCGTCCATGCATTTGCCCAGAACAGATATGTCGATGAGAATTGCTCAAGAACATAACAGTTCTCAGCAGAGTTGGATTTCACTTCTTTCACATCACTGATACATGAATTTTTCTTTTCATCGCCGTTGAAATTTGTACCAGATGGTGAGCATTTAACTATTGAGGAAATAAATCTAGTATCTTCAAGTTGCCTTGGCATAGACCCAAAAACAGAGCAAGCTAATTCAACTATCTTGAGAGCATGATGCAATTGACCATCCTCCTTGTAGGCTTGTCCAAGTGCCAAGTATGATTCCCCAAGGAGAAGAACAAGTTTCCACAACTTGTGGTCCAGTTTGGATGTTGGAAGCCATTCTCGAATATCACAAACTTCAATGCAATCGGCATCACCACAAGCACAAACAGAAAAATTCATAGAAGAAGGTGGATGACCATTAATTCCCATATCCTGATTGTCCAACTCCGGTTGAGAGGTTTGTAGTTGGCGCATCCATCTGAGGGATTTGATAGCTTGAGACACATGATGCACTGCTGCTAGCTTAGAGGAGACTGGATCAGTAATAGGTCTAACAACATCATCAGATGTCGAAGACATGTTGTGCACCAAGTAGTTTTCATCACCACGAATACTCGGCGAGGTAATTTCTTCATTTTCCAATTCTGAATTAGACAATTGTATCAATTCGTTTGGGGCAGAAATATTTGCTTCCAAAGTCATCTTTGCAGAAACTTCAGATGCTAAATCTTGAAAATCTGTTTCATCCTCTCTTATTTTGTTATCGGCAATGAGAGCAATATCATGGACAGCTGATCTGGAAAAACCATTTGAAAGGTCCACAGATTCCTCACCAGCATCAGGAATGGTAACTTCACACTCAATTCGGAGATATTCAGATGTTAGATCTAATTCTTCATCATAATTCAGAATAAGCCTGGCAAATTGTTCATGGGCAAATGCACGTACAACCTATTTAGGAAAACTTCTAAAATAAGTATCCATCCCTGCTTTCCAATGATAAATGAAAAATAAAACTGTCGGACAAAAATACAGATTTTAGAAAGCAGAGATACCAGGTGATCTGGCTCATCCAAGAGATCCAAGCATTTTTTGAAAAAATTTGCACACTTGGCCCGGTTATTAGTTGCCTGCACCAATAACATCTCTGTAGTTAGCAGATCATTACATGAAGCAGAGTGATCAACCCATAAAAGAGTTATATGTTTTACACACCATTGAAAGTGAAAGCCGGTGAGCAATGCGGTAGAGAAGTGTTCCAAGTGAAAATAAAGAATCATTTCTTCCTCTATGTACAAGAGAAGGCAAAGAGCTTGAGCTATCATCACAATCACCAGAAGAACGGCTCTTGGAAACGACAGAAAGATCAAAAAGTTGAATCACATCTTCACCAGCACTTTTATATAACTGTAAAACAAAAAAGATACACACAGTTCACTGAGTGAATTTTTGAAAAGGCATGCAAGAAAAAAAATTTGAGAAAGAAAAGATAACGATACCCAATAAGCACCGGGATCTTGTTTGCAGTTCTCTTGAAGAAACCTCAAAACAGTAAGGCCATTTTGCTGAACAACATGGGGATGAAAAGCAGGAGTACCATCTTCGTCAATGCCTTTTAATAAAAATATATCATCCGTCTTTAGAAGCTCGTACCCCCGGACAACACCATTTTGATGATAACAAATGGCCAACTCGGGGACACTAGCCATGACATTGTCAAGCCAAGCTTCAAGCCAGGTTAATGGTGTGACCTGTCAAGGTTGTAAAAAGAATTAGAAAGTTGAACCTAAAGTACCAATACAAATAAGTTTCAATTACTAGAAACAACCTGTCGTGTAACATCCCACAGGTGCAAGCTCACAGCAGCATACTTTTCATTACTGAACAGAAGCAAGTCACTACCAAGAAGCATCCGGAAATTGTGAAATTGCCAATATAACACTCTCAAGAAGCCACTATTGCCAACCCTTCTATGTTTTTCAGACTCCTGCACAGAGCATCTGGGCTTTTCACCAACATGTGCAGCCTTCTTGACAGGATTACGGCTCTTGTTTCTGTGGACCTTCTTACTTCCCCAAAATAACTCGTCTTGTTTAACCTGCGAGTACTCTGAGTGGTGTTTGATTCCATCTTTTCTAGAAATATTATCATTCTCTGCCACAAAGTTCGGTGTCTCACCCCTAGGAAGGGCAGCGGAATCTGATTGCCTCTCCAGAGGTGCTTGATGAGATGGTGGACAATCACAGGCCTCCATTCTAACTGAATGCATAGCAAAATTCAGAAACAAAGATTGATCTGTACGTTTCGATTGATTGCTATGTCTTCTAACCAATTTCTCTCCCTCTTCAACATCAGGCCTGCAAAATGCCAAAATATCATTATATTGAACTTTGAGCAGAAGAGAAAATAGAACAACAATAAAACAATACAAACCCTGTATTCAGAATGAGAGTCTGTCCAACACGGTGAACAGCAATAGATAATCGAGCCTTAGAATATGGTATTTTAAATATTTGTTTTAGAATATCAGTTGGAGCGATCACATCAATCTCATCTCCATACTCCACCAAACCAGACACAGCAAGTGCCTCACATTTCCTACTAAGATCAGATGCAACAGCACCATCCTCCCATATTATATCTGTCACAAAATAACATAAAATCAGATCAAAAGTTACAACCATTTCAAACTCAAGAAAGAAGAAATGCAGAAGGTGTCCTTAACTATTTGAAAGTGACAAAAGGACAATTCAAGTGCAAGAAAGAATAAAAGCGGAAAAGAGAGCTACAAGGATATTTCAAATTAGAAAGAAGATACGTTTCAATATGTTTATCATCTCTTGCTCCCTGACTCTCATGCACACATCACTTCTAAGTATTTATCTAGTCAAGGCTATCTTGGAATACAGGATCTACACAACTTCCAGAAAAGCCGAACAGGGGCTATATTGATGAAAATAACATGTGCAAAAATCCAATAATAAGGAAAATGGAAAGACTTTTGCACCTATTAGTCTCCCAAATACAAACCAGCCTCCTTAATAATAACTGAAATGATTCAAGCAACAACAAAGATTCATTGGACAAAAAATGAAAACTATAAAGGGTAAGAAACCATGTGCCTTCACTAAATGAAGGATTTAGATTGCCCTTGTTGTCAAAAAGATCATTCAATCATAAAATAGAGAGTGCATCACATTTGTCCAAATTCATTGAAAAGTTTTGTATGTATAGATCCATTCTCAAGTGAAGAATTCATTTGCCCGCCGAAAAGCAGTCTCTGACTAAACTATCATTTCTCGAGTCAAATTTCAAGGAACTGTTTAAACGCGAATTCCAAGACATACTCAGCAGTAAGCTTCACCTCTCACTAAAATGCTAAAACTCCATTTCGTGCAAAAGTTTGCAACTTTTACACCGTGCATTCCAGGTGATATAATCTATCCTACTACCTTGCGCGAGACACGTAACTCAGACTACACTGGCTAAAAGGTTTCGCTTTTTTTTTTTCCCAATAACTTCAAGGAATAGTACTGACTTATAGCTAAAATTCCACCGTTTCAATGAAGCTACAAAATTATAGCTAAAATTTAGCCTATCGTGTCTCAAAGAGAAACCAAAAGAAGAAAGGGAGAAAAATAAAGGTACCTCCTGTAGCCTTCTGTACAGCCCCAATGGGAAGCACCTTTTCAGGGAAATTTGTAACTAGCGGCGGCATGTTTAAGTCGGTCTCCATCGGGAGCATCCGGTACCTCGGCGCACTTGATCTGAAAATTAAAAAAAAAACCCTCAAACACATATTTTTACATATAAGAACGATAAAAGAAAAAACAAGACAGAGAAAAAGGAAAATAAGTAAATTTACGTTGGGCGAGAAGAGGGGACTAGAGCCGAGTTGAAAGCGTGGAAGGAATTATCCGTTGGAACAGGGATCGAACCACAGAGAAAACCAACGGGCTTCGGTTTTACGATTTCCATTTTGCCTACGCATTGCAGGTCACTAGAACTTTCTAACGACGAAGGTGCTGTTGCTCTTGATTTTTCCATCAGAACGACACTTTGTTCAATTTTCTCAATCATTTACCGATTTCTGGGGTTTTTTTCTCTCTTTAATCTTCTTGCTTCCTTTGCTTGGAGTGTTTTTTTTTTCCTGGGCTCGGTTCTGCTAGAACGGTCTGGAATGCTGCTTCGATTAAACGATCAAATCAAATCGTATTCGTCGAAAGATTTTTAGAACGTAAAGCAGTGCTTGGGTACACGTTTTTCTTTAACTGGACAAGGGATAAGTCGAATAAGAACAGTTGTTTTACTGTCTACGATAAACTACACAAGTAGTCCCTCAACTATTAATTATTTTATTTTGATCATTAAATTAAAAGAATTTTAATTTGGATACTCATGCTATAGAAACTGATCATTTTAATTATCCACTGTTGAATAGTTAACTAAGTATACTATTTTTAAAATTTTACATTTAAGTTATACTTTGTTTAAACTAAAGAAATATTTAAACTATGTTATTTTTTAGGTATCTAAATTATTTTTTTAGGTATTTAAATTATTTTTTGGTCAAACTATATACTTAAACTATTATATGTAACTGCTTTGATTACCTTAACTATTTTTTGATCAAAATAAGCCCCTAAATTATATCCTTTTTTGCTTTAAGCCTCTAAAATATTTTTTAATCAAAATAAGTACTTAATTTTATATGACACACCAACATCTTATTGGTCAAAAAATATTTTTCTAACTAAAAAATATTAATACTTAAAATAATTAAATATGATAGTTTAAGTACCTAACTTGACCAAGAGATAATTTAAATACCTAAAACAGAAAATCAACATAATTTTTTTTTAACAATGACAACTGGAATTTATTAATAATGGAATTAATCAAAATTACATTACATCAGAATAAAGAGATAAATTTGGAGACAATAGTCACCAAAATACTCAAATAAAAGTAAATAATAAACCTACAAATACGAAGAAAATTAAAACATTCCATTTAGAATTATGACCAATATCAAAACTCAATAACCTTCATATAAACTCCTTGTCTCTGTCGAATGAGAGGCTTGACGAAGTGATAAAGGAGTGGAGCGTGAACCAAATAATCTGGTAGGCTACTTCGCTATACAATTCTGATTACATCGGCAAATACATTTTACCAAAAGAGGAGATCTAACTATACGTGACCATCGACTAACCAATAAGAAAATAAATGTCGTGATAGTTTTTGTGCGAGAACCAAAACGACCACAAAGTTATGCGAAAAAAACGTAACAAAAAATATGAGGATCGTGCCACAAAAATAGAGGAAACGTGTGTCACAAGAGCAAGAAAAATCATGTCACAATGACATAGATGCTTATTCAAAATTAAAAAGACTAAAAAAACATAAAACATAATATAAAAAATAACAGAACCAATATTCTTTGGCGGTCGGCAACAAAAATTAAGATTGGTGTCGTCGACGACTAAACAAAAATCAAAGAAAAAGAAGAAGACGGTACGAAAATATTGAAAGAAAATTAGGTTGAGAGAAAAAAGAGGCGGTTAAAATTCAGGTATGTGTGTTGTATAAAAATCAACATAATTTTAGTACTTATTCTTTAACTGATTATATTAACTTAAATACATTATAACCAATAAATATAAATTTAAAGATATATCATTTCATGCACGAACCAACTTACTTTAGTGATTAAAAGAATTGTTATTGTTCCTGGAAGTTACGGGTTCGAGCATCATCCGCTACAAAAAAAAGTTAGTGATGAAGCATGAAAGGCTCTTGGGGTGGAGGTATCTGTAGTCTTATTCGTGATCAGGAAGCTAACAATTTAGCTTCGTTCTCTAAAGCCAGTCGGGCAAGGCCCTTAAGTGTAGGCAAAATTACTAACTATAAAACAAGGCTGATCGTAGAGTGTAACTGAAAGACTACTTTGCCAGTGGCACTGAAGCTGCACTGTTTATTTGGTATTAATTTTATTTACTTAAATCCTTCTCCCTCTATAATCCACAGCTACAAGTATAAAGCTGGAACTAGTAAATTATACAGCAAGTCACTTGTGTCCTTAAAGTCAAAAAAAAATTAAGAACAGAACACTCGTAATTAATAAATTAATATCTATTATACACTTAATAATAAAATGATCTTTTTTTTTTGAATAATTTGTAAAGTTAAAAAGAAAATAAATAAATTATTTAATAATGCTTTTCAATTATTTTCTTTTATAAAATAACTTATTTGAGAGAATCAGAAGGGGAATGGTGGAGTCAGTAAGGGAAAGTTGGGCAGGTCAACGTAGTAGTAGAAGGCAATCAAATACACTCAGCAAACCACCTCCATTTTCCCATAACAGTTCTATGAAACAGGCATGGCCATACTTAAAACACCATCTTACGATGTGAATATATACCATATTCGTTTATCTAGATGATGTGACCTGCCGATAAAGTGCACTAATTCCAAAAATCAAGTGTCTAACTCCGATAACATTGAATAAAATACAAACAAATTACTTAGTTCTATAGTACTGAGACTGAATTACATTTAGTCATAAAATAGGACTACCCAGATACTTCAACCTGTTGGAACATGTGTCTAACACTAGTAATTTAGGAAACAAAGACGAATTCGAATAACCTAGATTAAAACCGGCAATAAGGAGAGATGAATTGCTTACAGATCTAATCTTGAGCTTTATGTACAGACGAAAGATACAAAACCATCCTAGAATCCTTGACAGAAGCATCATTTTAGAGTAACATCACTTTTCAGATCCAACTATTCTTTTCTTCTTTGTGGTATGTTGATTTAATGTCCGGAAGACATCCAGAACTCGAATACAGCTTTGCTTGGCCGGTAATTAATGTCCCAAAATATCCAGAACAGTGCATGATCGGAAAAACTTCCCCAGTCTTGCACTGAAGAAAATAGCAAATGATTGGTCAGTTACTCCATCTTTATTCGCTTCGAATATGTCTCCTTCATCCAATCGAGGCATTCCTCTGCAGTCCCAGAAGGGTGTGCCAGCTGCCATGTGAGAGCCTTTTGTTGCTGCCAATTACAAGAACAGATTAGCATTTCAAGTTCTAGTCTAGATGATGTATGCATGCATGCATGTATGTATGTATGTATAATATATATATATAGGGGAGCTGATTATGCCCTACCCATTCCCTAACAAGTGGTCCTCCAACTTTAAGCTGCAAAACATTCATGATATCCTTCCCATTAACCAATGGTTTCAGATCCCAGACTTTCTCTAGACCTGCATTCATGCAAAAACTGAAAATCAGATGCTCGCAATCCAGCTTGAACATAGTAATTCACCATTAGCCATCAGAAAGTATAAAGAGGGAATGCTTGGACAATGAAATGAATTTATAAATGAAAAGAAAATAAAACTCTCCTCTGGCTGTCGGGATGATAAATTGACAACGCAAAAATACTTTTACAGTTTGAAATTTGTAAACAAAATGTCAGTCAGCAACCAGACATTAGGTTTTGTAATCACTTAATGTTGAACAAAATCAGGGAAGTAAGAACTACATGAGAGAAGAAAGAATAGAAGAAGCACCATTAATTTGTTCTGCTAGGGAACAGTACGAAGGTCTGTGCGAAAGACGATAATTCACGTGTATAAACGAAACCCAAGAGATTGTTTAAATTCTTAATTAACGAGACAAGGAATAAGAGTTTCTGCACAGATTGCACATAAAACTTACAAATAGGAAAGAGAGAATGTTGATACCTAATTTAACAATGGCATTCTCGACTGACACAAAGATCCCTTTTCTCTTGTCCAGTTGAAAATGCTTGTCTATAATATCCTGACTGCAATCAGTATCGGTCCTATCGGAGTGATATAAAAATGTAGACACCAACAAAGCAACCCGCCAAAAATCTTTAATTTCTCTGAGAAGAAACCCTGTATGTATAAGAATAATAAATTACTAAAATAAAACACACTAATTGTTGAACTGTTTTACAGTGAAAAGAAAATCAGATTGATAGACTAGCACCTGTAAAGACAAGCGAAGAGTTCAATAAAAAAACTAATTATGAGAAAACATAAATATCCTAAAAAGCTAGAATCAAAGATGAATGATTCTGCATTCAGACCGCTCATGATTCCCATTCTAGAATGCAAGTCCATTATCTCGGGCATGTCGGCCTGAGAGGCCTCCGCATCCAACAAAAATCCCAATTTTTTCTCTCTCAATTTTAATGCTTCACAAAGCGGATCGCACCCCGAACTTTTCTGGTCGGGCCAAACGAATTCAGATCACAATCTCTACCAGAGTCAATTTTTTGATCCAGTTTTGATGTTTCATATTCTAAAAATGCTGCTACTAGAATTATTTTTCTTAGCAAGGTTTAGGCTTGCTTCTTGGTTCTTAGCCAAGTACAATGAGATTTATATTCCTAAGGATTCTCTTATATCTGATCCTTCTCTAGGGGATTCTAGTTCAGTATTCAAATCGATTGTATCTAAGATTCCTTGGTCTCCTCCTCCTAAGGGCTTCATTAAATTGAATGTTGATGTTGCTTCTAGCTTTGACTGGAAGAGGAGTGGTTTAGGTGGCGTTTTAAGAAATGATAATGGTTCAATTTTAGGTTTCAAGGAGCCTTCTGGTCCGGGTCGTCCTATCTTGATGGAGCTTAAAGCAATTCAAAAGGGTTTACTTTTCTTTGTCTCTTTTCGAGGGCTGGTTAAGGATCGTTTGATTATTGAGAGTGATAGTAAGGTGGTAGTGGACTGGATCAAGAATGTTGAACTATGTCCAGATGTGTATGCTTTTATTGTGAAAGACATCGTTGATGGGCTCAAAGATTTTGAGGGTGTGGTTATATGGGTTGCTAGGACAGCTAACTTAGAGGCTGATGCCTTAGCTAAGGCTGGAATAGGCTGAGTTCAGTGTTGATGTTAAGGGATGTTATTTTTGGGTTTAAGGTTTTTATGTAAGGGAACTTTCTGGGTGTTGTAATTGTGATGTATCTTTTCTTGTTATTAATGAAATTTTAAGGCACTTTTTTCCTCCTTCCGCTGATTCAGAGCTTCTCTACAGGCTCCATTAATCATGAAGTGGGGTTTTTAACGAGGCCTATAACTCATAAAAAAATGCTGCTACTATTAAAAAAACATGATTATAGTAGCACATAAATACAATATATCAATTCTCACTAAACGGTTATATACTGAAAAGTCAGCTTTCTGAAGAACTAACTTATAATGAATTATTCTGGAAAATCTATCTTCTTTTTTTTTTTGATAGAAGATGAGGCCTCGTAAAAACCCCCTTTATTTTACCCTCCATGTTATGAAAGTAACATGAAGGGCCTTGAAAGGAGGAAAAGAGCGCCTATAATTATATTAAACAGTAGAATAGTACATAGCCAGCCCTTACAACAACCAACACTTCCCAAAAAGCATAAGACTTAAAAATCACTATCAGCTGGACAACGTAGTCACTAATACCATAAGACTGATAACCAAAAACTGCAGAACAAAGTGAAACATACACACCAACTCCCCAAATACTAAGAAAGCAAATCAACCTATACCATCCTTAGCTAATCTGTCCGCTTCCCAATTAGCAGCCCTCAAGATAAGCCTTAACGAAATGTCCAACCCTTCCATAGTAGAGACTATCTCCTTCACCAATGGATGGAATAAAGGGGTGCTTAGTTCCAGATTTTTGATCCACTTCAGCGCGTTGGATGAATCTGATTCTAAAATAATCCTCTGGTTACAAACCCCACCTGAATCAATAAGCAAGCCCAACCCCTCTTAATCGCCAGAAGTTCTGCCATAATCGGGGGACCTCCCCCAACATTTTCAGCAAAACAATGACTCAACTTACCACTGCTGTCCCTAATCAGGCCTCCTATACCTCCTTTGCTCCACCCCTTCACCATTGCTCCATCAACATTAATCTTTATGAACCCAACTGGAGGAGGAACCCAGCACGAAGGCTTGGATCTTACTTTGTGGCTGACCATTGAATCAACAAGTGTTAAATCACCCACCAGAGAATCAAAAGGAATCTGCGAATCAAAACTAGCAGCAAACCAAGAAACTATTCTAAACCGAGCAATAAAGAACAACAACACCACATCCAACTTCCCTTTCTTAAAAATAACTTCATTCCTAATTTTCCAAACCGTCCACAAGACTGCCCTTGGAATGTATTTCCAAATAGTAGAATTCGGAAGAAGCTCGTCCCACTGTGTGATGCACTCTAAAGGTTTACTAGGAATCACCCAATCAACATCCCACAAATTCAAAAATCTGACCCACAGTCCCCAAGCAACCTCACAATGCAGAAAGAGATGGGGAACAGATTCACCAAATCTGCCACACAACGGACATAAGGGATCTTCAATTCCAGCCACTCCACGCTTTAACAATTCCTCCTTAACCGCCACTCTCAAATGAACTACTTGCCATAAAAAGGTTTCAACACGGGGAGGTGCTATCCCTACCCAAACATTTCTGTCCCAAAAATCCTGATTCCCCTCAATACCATCCGAGTCAAAGAAACTCTTGATACATGAATTAGTAGAGAAACAGCCCTCTCCATTCCCTAACCAAATCCAACAGTCTTCCTCATCATGCGACAAAGAGGAGTTGTTCAACAAAGAAATCAGATGCAACCATTGGTCAACCTCCCAATCCACCAGATTTCTCCTGAATTGAATATCCCACACCCAGCCTGCAGCATTACTCTCCCTAAATTCCACTACTTTCCCCTCTTTATTCATCGAAAGAGTATACAATCTGGGGAACAAATCTTTGAGGGGGACTTCACCCAACCAAGCATCATTCCAAAAAGCCACATAATGGCCATTTCCAGTTTTCCACCTCAAATTACTCCTAATGCAGACACCAAATCCATCATTAGAAAAGAAGTTATTTATCACTCCTCTCCAAATCCAAGAGGCACGAGCAGTCAAAGAACTCTCAACCTTTTTGGAGTTCGGGTCCAAATTATTAACACAACAGACTACTCTCTTCCACCAAGAATCCTTTTCAGAGGCAAACTTCCAAACCCATTTACCCAACAATGCTCTATTCAGAATAGCTAAGTTCGGGATCCCTAGGCCCCCCAACCTTCTCTGCTTGCTGACCAAACCCCAATTCACCCAATGTATGTTTCTTTTATCATTCGACCCCCCCCCATAAAAATGCTGCCATTATAGAGTTTAATTTTTGCAGCACCGTTAGTGGAATTCGAAATAAAGATAGGAAATAAGTGGGAAGAGAGCACAAAACAGATTTGATCAACACCACCCTCCCTACTAATGCTAGAGAATTCACCTTCCAGCTCGACAACCTATTATAAAAATTCTGCACTATTGGCTCCCACATTGCAACAGAATTTCTCCTAGACCCCAGAGGCAGGCCTAAATACTCTGCTGGGAACTTACCCACTGAACAACCAATTTCCTTAGACCAGTCAACAAGCACATCCTCCTCAATATTGATTCCGTAAATTTTGCTCTTGACTAGATTAATCTTCAACCCCACCAATAGCTCGTAAATCAAAAGCACCCTTCTAACATTCTTCAAATCCCGAATTGAAGCCTTTGAAAAGATAATAAGATTATCCGCAAATTGTAGGTGCGATAGCTTGAATAAACGATCATGGGCTCCCAACTCAAAACCCGAAAACAGTCCCAAATCCACTGCTTTAGTTAACATCAAATGAAGCAATTCACCACCCAAATTAAACAACAAGGGTGATAACGAACATCCCTGTCTAAGACCTCTTTTTGTATGAATTTTCTCAGTAGGAGTCCCATTCAGTAAAACAGAAACTGAAGCAGTTGACATACACTGAAACATCCAAGAACGCCATTTTTCGCCAAACCCCATTTTACCCAAAATTTTCAACAAAATCACCCAATCAACTGAATCATATGCTCTCTTAAAATCCACCTTAAAAACCACCCCCTTCAACCCTTTCTTCCTCCAAAAGTCGATTCCTTCATTCGCTATGAAGGAGCAGTCCAGAATGCTCCTCCCTCGGATAAAAGCAAATTGGGACGGACTAATAATGTCATTAATGCATAAACTGAACCTCCTAGCCAAGACCTTTGACAAAATTTTGTATAGCCCTCCCACAAGGCTAATTGGCCTAAAATCCCCCATCCCCTACGGGTTAATCTTCTTAGGAATAAGAGAAATAAAATAATGATTCACCTCTAGATCCCACTCCTTCCCCTCGAAAAAATCCTTAAAAAACAGCATAATATCCTCTTTCAAACTAGACCAGAATTTCTTGAAAAAGCCTAAATTCAAGCCATCCGGGCCAGGAGCTTTGTTACTATCCGAATCAGCAATTGCTCTCCAAACTTCTTCTTCCGAAAATGGCTTTTCAAGTGCTAACCTCTGCTCTTCCGATAATCTTCGAAATTCCAGATTTATATCCTCAGCCTCCAAAGAATTTTCCTGAGAAAACAGACCATTGAAAAACTCCACTACAGAATTTCTAATTGAGATAGGATCTTCTATGACTTCATTCCCCACCAAAAGTGACTTAATACCATTGTTTCTCCCTCTAACTGAAGCAGTTTGGTGGAAGAATCTTGTGTTCTTATCACCCTCCAATCTCCATTTCAGTCTCGATTTTTGCAACCAAATCGATTCCTCTTTCTTTTGGAGGTCCCATAACTCCCTCTTTGCTTCAATTATTGACCTCATTGTCACCGTGGAAAGGCCTTGTTGCATATCCAACTCCATTTCATGAATTCTTCCCTCCAACTTTTTAATTTTTCCAGGCAATTCGAAGTAACCCCTCCCAGACCATCTCAATATCACGCCCTTCACCCTCTTAAACACCATAGACATGGACTTCCCCTTTTCCTCTTTGCAAATAATATCCAGCTCCTTACCCATCATCTCGGTAAAGCCCTCCTCCTCCATAACATAGTTAAACAACCTAAACGGCTTCCGGCCCCAATTGCAATCCTTGTTCTCCAGCAGCACAATATTATGATCAGAAACTGACCTTGCCTGTAGTGACTGACTTAGCTTCGGGAACAAGCTGACTAATCTCTGATCCACCAAAAAACGATCCAACCTCTCAAACGTAGGAAGTTCCCTATTATTACACCAAGTAAACCGGCCTCCCGACAAAGGCAAATCTAGCAGATTAGCCTTACTCACAAAGTCCCTGAAAATATTCATAGTCACCGAATTCACAACTCCTCCTTCTTTCTCCTCCTGTGACAAAACTACATTGAAATCTCCTCCTACGCATAATGGACATTCCACATTATCCAAAAAGGATAATAGTTCCCTGAAAAATGCCTCTTTCTCTGCGTCCAGACTAGGGCCATACACATTAATGAAACAACAACTTCCTGGGAGTCCCACCATAGTTCCTTTTAAAGCTACAAATCTGCTATAAAGGGCTACATCTTCCATCACAAATTCTTTCTGATTCCACAATGTTATTAATCCACCAGCAGAACCTATGGAAGGGGCTACAGCCGATCCAGTAAGTAATTTCCCCCCCATTTTCCTCACTAACACATGGCTGACAACCTCCAATTTGGACTCTTGCAAAAATAGAATTGTAGGTTTTTTATCATCCACAAACCTCCTAATAGCTCGAGCTTTCACTCTCCTACCCAAACCCCTAACATTCCAAGACATCATCGACCACTCAACCATCAATAGTATATCATAACCTTACAACTCAGCTACAACTACTAACGCTCCTTCGAATTACTTTCATTCACCAACGGAACCATCTTAGCCATCTTAGCCATAAAAGCTTCCTCTCCTCCTTTAAATTTCACCCCCAACAATTTGGACACATTCCAACACTCCAATGCCTCTGCCACCCCCTCATTCTCCTTCTCTGCAAAGGAAGCTAAGTCCTTGCCATTGCAACTCTTAACTTCCCACCTCCTAGAATAGACATTCTTATAAAAACCTCTTTCAATGTTACTTACCGACGCACTTCTCCCAGAATGCCGACGCCTCACCGGTGACATAATCCAATTCTGCAAGTTTAACGCAGATTGCTCACCAATTGCCATTTCTGCAGATTGGATACGAACAGTATTCGACCTTAATAACCCTTGAACAGACCCATTTGTTTGACTTCTGACCAAGCTGGTATTAAGCCCATTATCTTGTACACCCTTATCCTTGCCCAAGTTGACTCCTTCCACAGATCTTTCATTTTCTCTTTCTTCATTAAAATCCTCTGACAATCTCTGTTGACTGGTACCATCACCTATTACTGCTACCTCCGCAGAACAAAAGTCATCAGCCAACAAATGTTTTGTCCCTTCAATTAAATTCAAATTTCCATCGGTAACCGTATCAACCCCTTTTTCATCTCCCCGTACCCATGCTTCAACCCTGTCCTGAGAGTCTGACACAGACTGATCTCCCCACTGCTCATCCTTTCCCTGCTGGACATCCCTCTGGCTCCAGACCGGCGAAAACCCCTCCCGAGAAGCCACTGTTCCGTCATCTTCAGCCATATCCTCTAACTCCGGAAAAAACTCATCACTACCTTCCACCTTAATCTTAATCATGAATGACCTTCCATACGTATTTATAATGACATGGGGAGGAATATCAAAGGGACTTTCAACCCTCAATAACATATAAGCTACTCTACAATCCACTCTGTTAGCAGTTTGTTCCTGTATCTTAACTAGCTTGCCCCATCTCGACGCCAAGCTTGTGAAGAAAGGAACTGACCAACAATTAAGAGGAACTCCAATCATAGAAACTGCACAATAAGGCAATGGCACACCCTCTTCTTCCATAACGTGCTCCAACCTCTCGAACTAGAAGGACAAGATCTCCCATTTGTTTTCCATCGTTGCGACTTTCTCCTCAGCAGTCTGGAAAACTACCAGACAAGCTTTTTTTGCATAACCCCATTGAATCACTTTTACATTGATTCCTTCAGTCCTTAGCGCCCTCTGCACAAACTCAACTTCGAATAATGGCTTACAAATACCAGTTAACGACGATCTCAGCCATGATCTATCCTCCATTGGAATAAAGACTTCCAACTTCTTCTTCACCTCCTTCTTAGCTCCAAAACTCCCCGCTTTCTGGCCCTCAACTTCTTTTGCACCCACAACCATCTCCTTATATGACCTTCCATTGCGAAACTTATTCATCATCTCCTTCTTTCCAGAACCTGCCGCTTGAGATGATGGTAGTTCCCTGAGCAACCCATATACACCAGCATCTGTAGACCTCGCCCCACTAGTACGTTTGAGGCTCCTCGGTATACTTTTCTTCTGATATTTGGCAATCGACACCAATATTCTCCTCCCATCGACCGAGGCATTGTTCATCTTTTCAATTGCTAGATGCATATCATCTTTGCTAGCAAAATGCACAAAGGCAAACGTACTATCCTTGTAATAAGGTCTCCTATTAACAAATGGAATGAACACCTTAATCACCTTACCATAATGAATAAAGCGATCCCATAATACATTTCTCTGCACTCGCCTACTAAGATTATCCACGAATACAACCCACGATATTGCTCCAGGCGAAGACCTACTTCTGCCCGGACGAACAAGACCCTTCGAACTCTCTCTCACTCTCTCTCTACCTTTCTCGCTCATAATTTTGAATTATCTAACATTAATAAAGGCTTCAACTTCTTCGGAAAATCTATCTTTGAAGAGAAACAATTGAATTATTCTGGCAAATTTATCTATGAAGAGAACAATTGTACATAGAAAATCTTAAAATAAATACCTGTTGATACCCGCAATTTTGAAGTAGCAGGGACATCAACAAATTCTTTTCCCCAGTCAACCTCAGTGATTTGGACATCCTCATTTGATAAAAGAGAAGGAATCAAAGATATGAATTTCTCCAGTGATTTGTGGATGTTTATGACCTTCAAAGCAAAGAAAATTATAATGAATGTTACAAGAAGGCTGCAAATTCAGCTTATAATGAATCAATCCTAACAAAAACAAAGAACATGAAAGGAAATCAGGTGAAAATGTAGACTCACTGTATCAGCATCACTGGCTTTTCGCTTGAGAGAATCCCTCACAATGTAATTGACTGCAGGAATCTGCAGACCAGTTGAACAGGTTTAGTGTCATGACAGCAGCTCATGGGCTTATCATAAACAAAAAAAATTAATAATATAACCAAGCAGGATGAAGAACATCTTATTCAACAAATACTTTTCAGGAAGTGCAAGTGTCCAATAGGTAAAAAAAGTGATACCAAAACGAATAAATAAATAACATTAAAAATGTCAACACTTTATGTGCCTTCACACATAGAAGCTTATGGAAGGAACAGGATTGGTACCATTTTATCTTTACGATCCTTGTATGAGGTACCGTGCAATGGAAGAAATAAAGCAGAGTACAAACAGAGCCTTCTCTGTTCATCCTACAATTCACAATCCATAACTCAGAAGATAACAACAGAACACATACACAGAGGAAAACAGAGCAAATAAAAAAAATGAAGCTGCTGCCAAATGAGGATAATAGAAGCTACTTGAGAGAATGGGGGAAAAACTTTAACACTTCAATAACTCACATCAAAGTTAAAGCATCGAATAAGTTGAATAAGTTTCCATGAAGCATCCAAATAAGCAGCAGAAAGCCTGTATAGTTGTGAAAGAAACAATACTTGAGTAGGAAACTCAGAAATTTCAAAAAGAATGCTCAGCGCGCTTTGGCTTTCTTCTGGCCCACTAAAAACAATATCTACAAACGCCAGCTTCCACCCCATCCTTAAGTTAACCAACTACAGATAAAGCAAGCACCAGCCAAAGACCAAACTCAAGCTATATTGCCCAGACAAGGCACGGTTATGAACATAAACTTTTTTTGATATGAAGTTATGAACACAAACTATGTTGTCACAGCTCACAAGTACATCAAAAAAAATATCCAGATTTGTAGATACACGACTTAATTTATTAAGTCTATCACAGTTACCTTGAATCGTTTATCCTGTTCCCCACCCACAAATATTTAGAGAAGTGCAACTTAATATCTTGTCAATTTGTGGTTCTTAACATGCATTCTCCAATTGATTATTAAAAGATAACTGGTATAATTCTATTTGACTATCAAACATGGACTTATGAAGTTAAGATAGACTTGTGTATCGATAAAAATAAATATAATATTACGATAAAACTAAGCTTAGAATGAATAACGAATAATAAATAACATTACTAAATTACTAACAAACCTATAGCATTCTTCTGATACAGCAGGCTCAACCTTCGGAGGGAGACTGAAGACAACCCAAAATAATGTCAAATCACATATGTAGTCAATTGCTTTAACAGGTTGGTTTCCAGAGATCATGAGATCAATCTGCATGGAAGACAAACAACAATGGAAAAAGAACAAGTTTAACAAGGTACACAGAATAGTACAGAATATCCTGAATAAGTTACAATGAATATCCAAAAAAATATAATTTTATGCAGAGAAGCAGCAGTGCAAGACATGGAATAACATACTTCAGTTCCAATGCGCTCTCTGCTAATTTTTGCTGCAAGAGCTGCTTTGACATCACCACAAGCAGCAGCTTTCTTTAATTCTTCATCCAGTGTGAAATCGAACCTTGCACCTAATCAATGAAAAAGTCATATAATGCATCTCCTCTTGTGTTCGTATATTCAGAGGTCAATCAATAGGAAAAGGGTAACCATGCAGCGATGACTGCACAATGAAGTTGCTAGAAGCATAAGAAAGTAAGCCTGCTTTTCAAAAGAGAATGCAATGCTAATAAACTTCATTAAAGGGGGGAAAGAACTCAAGAGTGGAAGATATTCCCTTGCTGATAAACCATCAAAGAGTGGAGGACACTATAGGAAAATTAAACAAGTACCAAAACGAATAGCTCGAAGAACCCGTAAGGGATCATCCAAAAATGTAGCCATCGGAGGTAATGGAGTCACTATCCTTCCAAATTTTAGATCCTCGAGTCCTGTATTTGTTTAAATAAGAAGGAACAAAAATGAAACATAATAGCAACCCAAAAATATGTGGAATTATTGAAAAAGTAAAATCAGTAAGAAGGCATTACCTCTTTTAGTGAAGTCTTCAACTAAGTTGGTATTAATATTGTAGAACAAGCTGGTTAATGAAAAGAAAACTCCGTCAATTCTGTGTGCTTAACAAATGATATCAAGAAAAGGCAAAAATGATATATTCACAGAAACATTATTATTTTTATTACTCATTTTCCAGAATCTAATGATACCCGCAGAAGTATAATGATCATTTCCTAGCTATAACACATGATTAAAAGCAAAGAAACTTACCTATTAATGGTCAAATCCCTTCTAAACGCATCTTCCTCAGCAGTACCAAATTTCTAATTCAAAAATGAGTGAACAATAGATAAAACTTATAAATGTAAGAGTTAGATAACATGATATTCAATGGTGAGCATATCATCGACTAATTAAGAAACAGCAAAAAGTTTTGTTAAGCAATGAAACCATCTTTTAACAGGTTCGTTGCCAGGATAAGTAAATAATACATTTCACTACAAAACCAAATCATTTAACAAACTGCAAAGTTCCAGTATACTTCATTCTCAACACCCACAACTAAGGGCTAAGGCCATCTATCCTCAAAAGTCACAAACAGAATATATGTCGAATAATAAACTAAGATTTATATTGTGATCTTTTTCCATACAGGTTGAAAGAAAAATCTTATCAAAAAAATACAGGTTGAAAAAAAAGGGTAAAAGCAGTTATATAGAAATTGAATATCAACATATTTGTTTACCATCGTAGGGATGCGGCTATTCTCACTATAGTCTTCACACCTTAAGTTCACAAAATCAATCCATAAATCAAAAAGGCGCATCCTTGCAGTTTCTAAGTGCTTAGATTGCTCAGGATTACTGCAAAAATGAAATTAAACAGTATAATGGCCAGAAATAATGGAATAAATAAATAAATAAAAAGAACAAACAAAATACTAGGAGCCAATATATAATTATCAGTAAAAGCCAACAACGACAATGAACTTATTTTGCAAATTAAAGCTAACAACTACAATGTATATCATATAGGCCATACACTATCCAGATGAAGTATACAATATCCTAAAAGTTGCAAATTGTTTCAAATTCAAATTTTCTCTATCTAAAGTATCCACTGCAGCAAATTCAAATTTGATTTCTTTCCATACTTTACAAGCAGCAGCTAGTTCAGGACTCCATTTGCTACCCTTGAGGATAATCGCCTTACCCTCGCAAAACTATAATATTCAAACACTATCCAAATGAAGTTATGAAACAAAATGAAGCAAGTTAAAAATGTAAAAAAAAAATGATGTCTATCGGCTCAGCTAGTTAAAGGCAGCGAAAGATGACATTTTTATTGTACAATGAATGTACCTTGGAATGACAGCAAGACCCTGTGCCACTTCCCCAGTAGATGACAAGTATTCCTGAACCTTATCAACAAATTCACTACCCAACATGTTGTCAAGTGCAATATCAATGTCATAACATTCTTTGCCAAGAAGCTGCAAAGGAAATTAAACCGAACATAAGTCAAACTTTTAGGAACGTCGGAAGACATGTATGCAGCACTCATACAGACAGAATGCAACTTATGAGTTATGTGGTACAATAAGGATCTACTGAAATAAGAATCTACTGAAATAAGAATTCCCGAAAGGATATATACCGAAAAATGTACACAAGTAAAAATCTACAACATTTTATATAAAAACATAAAATTTTAACTAATTTACACCTAAACCTTACATCTCTCTCTTTCATTTGTTGGGATTTCGTACTCATATAATCCATAAAAAAATAAAAAAGAAGGAAGCCGTAATTTATAAATTGTTCGAAATGGGAGTAGAATCACCCACCTTATCACGGACCCATCCGCCAGCAACTCGAAGCTGAGTTTGGAGATTGAAGTAACGGAGAGTGTTCAAGAGCCTATCGAAAATCTTCTTCTCCGTCTCTGTCAACTCAATTTGCTCTTTGATTTGACGCAGGCGGCGGTTGCCATGGCTGCTTGACAGCGGAGGAACGGAGAGGAAAGAAAGCTAACGGTATTGGGTATTCTAGTTAGGGACAGGGGTGCATTTGAGGAAGTTAAAATGCTGCGAAACGCGATAGTACTTTTATCTATGGGTGGAAAGGAGGAATGCAGCAGAAGAGGCGCCTTGGCCTTGAACTTTATGGCGTTGTTCAGAGCGAGCCGCATCGTAGTGCATAGCGTTTCCCCTTGTTTTCATTTATTTATTTAAAATTATTATTGGATAATTAAATTACACTGTTTCTCATTGTACTATACTCTCTCTCTTATTTTCCTCATACAACTTTCATTTTTTCTATTTTGCTCACTGAACTTTACAAATTGAACCATTTTGCTCACCCCGTTTTCTCTCTAACGGCTAATTACATGGAATTTTTTCATTATTTAATATAAAATAATTTTAAAAAAAATAGAAGGTGACTGGATACCACCGCCGACCGTCATAGATGGTGGTCGTTTGATCCCAATATGGGATAGGTCGCTTATCCTCGAGGTCGTGAGTTCGAATCCGACCTCCATTTTTTTGAAAGTCACTCCTAAGTCTACAAATTTGAGATTACAAGTGAGGAAACGAAACATTTCAGTCCAAATTCACGGGTTTTGAGATATTTTCCGGTGAAACAATCATTATATTTGGACTTAAGGGTCGAAACAAATCGATCCATACTATTTTGGGATCAAACAACCACCATCTACGGTGGTCGACGGTGGCCGGAATGAAAATGACGTGGTGGTCGACAAGGAGAAAATGAAAAAAAAAAAGGAAAAAGGGTAAATTACACCATGAGTCATTGAACTTAACTCTTTCTCATATTTTACTCACCAAAATGATGTCGTTTTGGAGTATAAGTCATAACGTCGTTAAATAGTTAACGACAGAGTGAGCAAAATGATTTAATCTGTAAAGTTCACTGAGAAAAATATAAAAATTGAAAGTATGGTAAGCAAAATAGGAAAAATAATATAGTACAATAAGGAACGATGTAATTTACCTTATTGGATATTAGCCTAAACGATATTAAAATAATTAGGGGTGACAACGGGGTGGGGATGATTTTGCATTACCCATTTCATCCTAATACTTACGGATACGGTTTTGGGGATTCCCCATTATATGTTTCAGAGATTTTTTGTCTCCATGCTCATCCCTTACGGATCCTTGTGGGTCTCGGTTAATCTCATCCAAAAAAATACACAAACATTTTTTAAATCAATGCAACACCTAAAACTTATAAGATATATCATATTGCCTCAAATTAGTCTCTATCTATAATATGAAAGTTTCAAACGTTAGTATTCATCTAACACTCAATGTATATGTACAATCTTAACAATTTTCAATCTCAATAAATCAATGTATATTAAATGTGAAAAGATCTAAACTTTAATTTTAGTTCCTTTGAGATGTAACAATCACAACACGTAATCTCACAATCTTATCATATATAATTTTTTATTAAAATATATATTAAGGGTATATATGTAAATGATTATAAATATATATATATATATATATTTATATTTTAAATATCGAGGATCCCTACGGATATTTTTCGGGGATTCCCACAGTTATTTACATGAGTACGGTTCGGTTATCCCCACGGTTCAGATATAGCAATCCTCGTCCCCATCCAATTTGAGCTTTAGGGATAAAACTTTCCCTATCCCCATCTCCTGGGGTGAAGATTTCGATTATTCCCTATCTCCGTCGGTTTGGATCCCCACGGTTTTTTATTTTCCCCCACCCGATTGCCACCCTAAAAATAATATTAAATATTTATTTCTAAAAATTTTAAACATAAAAAATTACTTAATATCATCTAAAATTTATTTATAATCAAATGAAAATGACAGATTTAAGATCAATATGATAGTTTGGCATTTTTTTAAAAAAGTATTTTTAAATTATTTATTTTAAAATTTGAGTATTGAAGTTGCTATAAGAAATATATTTTTTAATTTATTTGTTTAAAAATGTAAATAATTAATTTTTATTTTAGATATTATTTTAGAAATTGTAAAATAATTAATGATATAAATGAGAAAAATAAATAATTTTATTTAAAAATATTTTTATAAAAATAAAAGATTTAATATTTTAAAAGAATTTTTAATTTGAATTTAAACTGAAAAAACCCAATTGTTTTATATCATTTTTAATCTTGCAATATTTTTAATTTTAAAATAACTTAAAAATAATTTAAAAATTGGCATTTAAGACTTATACGTGTTGAATGCTCGAAATAGATACTCCAATCTTTTTTTTTTTTTTGAATGACAACACTCTCGTTAATTTCTTAAGATCCCTTTTGGAACAACCAGTGGCGGAGCCAATATTAGATACAGACAAGAGTCGAAATATTAAATTTTTAAGAAAAATACAATAACTTACTAGGTATTTAAACTTACAATTCATAAAACAATGTTTAATTTGTCTAATAATTAAGTTTAGACAAAAAAATTGAGAACATTGAATTACCCTTATTCTTTTTGTATAACCACTGATTTCCAATCTATTGGTCGACTAATTCTGATCAGGTACTGTAGAGGCGAGGATGACCCTTCCAACCCAATTTTCTCCATTCGCAATCGCCAATATTTAAACCCTTGACCTTGCTTAAGGATCTAGTGTCTCATCCCGCTAGACCAACCGATTGTTGGTATTGAATTATCATTATTTAGTTCACATCCTATTTGATTAAATATCTAATAAATTTTTATATTTCTTAATTTAAATATTTGATTTTACGTTAACCAAAATACTATTGGATCAAAATTTATCTAACATAAAAAAAAATTACAGAGTCCGAGGCACCTTTGGAGCATCGCCCCTGGGAACAACCTCTTGGATCTAGGGATGCTTATCGAGTGAGTCGATCGCGAGTTGATTAGTGCTCGACTCGTTAAAAAATTTTGTTGCTCAACTGAACTCGTTGTTCGTTAAGCTCGTTAAAATTTTGCTCGACTTGTGCTATTTAAGCTCGTTACTCGTTAAGCTCACTACAATTTTTATCTTATTTTTTAAGATTTTACAATAAAATAATATATTAGTCATTTATCATGTTTTTATTATCTATTAGTAAATGAATAAATAATAATAATAAGCTGCTCACGAACTTATTGAGTCAAATTAGACTTTGCTCACGATATCCAAGTTGGATCTCCTTTTGTAGTAAATTGCAGCGACATAGCCCCGCTTTGAATCATTGTTTGGATTGTGAGTAAAGTTAGTCAAGGATGGACCGAGGGGTGCTGGAGGGTACGATCGCAGCCTTGGAATTTTCAAATTTCCTTACATTTTAGATTTTATCTTTGTATTTTCTATTGATTATTAAATTTCGCATCCCCTAAAATTTTATAACTTCGCACTCCCTAAATTTTTTTAACATAACTTCTTAAGCTCACACTTCTAATATAAATTTTTGCGTTCGTCCTTGGAGTTAGTATCACAAGCTTCACAGGTGGATGTTGGACTATTTGAGTTATTTTTAAAATTTTAATTATTAAATTATAAATTTTTTATATTGTTATGGTTCGGGATCTTGTTGAAGTGAGTATTATTGATTATCGTTAACCGTAATTGTTACATCTTACAAATTAACTAACCTAATCGCTAAGATTTAACAATTTTGGTTAGTCGAACTGCTAAATGTGTCGACTAATGATTACGATTATGAATTTTGATAAATGATTAATCATGATTAATTGCTAAAAAATTATAATTAATTAATAGTTAACTACATGATTAATCATTTATGTTTGTGTTTTGTCCACTTTTCCTCACCGATTTTAAAAAACATAATATATTGTCACTTTCTTTTTTAATTAATTAAGATGTGTCACCAACTGTTGTTAACAGATAAAAATTAGATGACATGACAGTTAAATATCTTGATATAATCACACATTTGGTCCATGTTATTTACCATTCTCTCAATTTTGCCCTACTTTTAATAATTTAAAAGTTAGTCCTCCAACTGAATGGTGAAACGTGACACGACACATGACACCAATGACTCGAGACATCATTCGATTAGAGGATTAAATTTATTTTAAATAAAAACGAAAGTGATCATATATTATTATTTTTGAATTAGTGAGGAAAAGTTGACAAAACACAAACATAAGTGATCAATTATGTAGATAACCCATTAATTAATTATAATTTTTAGAGAATAGAATTAGAAATAAAATCAAAATAATTCCTCATTTTTTATAGTTATCATATTTATCTTATATAGGATAACATTAAATCAAATATATATTATATAAGTATTTGATTCTAAACTACAAAATGTAAAAAAGTATGTAAGACTTTAAACTGCAAAAAGAATATATATATATATATATATATATATATATAATTTAATTTTCCTTAATTCAACTATCCTAAAAAATTGTATAACTAAAAGAGTTTTACACAATATAAGTATATGATAGCCCATATATATTGTAACATCCCAAACTATGAGTTAGTGACTTAATTGTAAAGTTTCAGAATTTGGTGATTTAAGTAGAAGAATGTATTATTTCAATGATTTATCTGGAAATAAATCCTAAAAGTTGTTAGTAATTATTAAAGGAGTTAAAGGACAAAATGGCCTTTTTATCTAAAAGATAATTATCTTATCTCTTTATTAAGAGACAAGCATGTAGGGAGATATTTCTCCAGAACTTCTTCTCCTTCTTATTCCTCTCATCCCGTATCTCCAAGCTCAAAGGTGAGTATTCTACTTAGTTAATTATTTGTTAAGTTTAAGATTGGGTTTTGATCATTAGATGATAACTAAGCTTAAGGAAAGCTTAAGTTATCTTAAGATCAAAAGATAAAAGAGATAGAGAAGATTAAAGATTAGAGGTTCTTGAATGAAATATTGGAATATAGTTCATAACAAGAATTGAAAGTTGGATTTGACTTGTTATCAATCTAAGTAAGAGATATGAAGTAATAGAATTGGATTTGAAACATGTTGCAAATTTTATGTAATTATTGAATTACATATGGAAGATAGGATTTTGAGGTTTAAGATGAAATAAATGAATATACATTGGTTTAAGTTTGTGTACTAGAGTTAAGACTGAAAAAGGGGATGAAACATGAAGGATTTAATCCAAAATGAATGAATTTTCGGGTTCAAAAAGAGGATTATGGGTAGAGTGCATCGATGCATATTCATTGTGCATCGATGCATCAAGGTTAAAACCCATAAATCGTTTAAAGGTGTATCGATGCACAGGAAGTGCATCGATGCACTCTTTTAAAATAAATACATCGAATGCAATTCGTGCATCGATGCATAAGTAGTGCATCGATGCATCCCATTAATAATGAAACATCGAATGCAATTCATGCATCGATGCATAAGTAGTGCATCGATGCATCCCAGTAATAATACAACATCGAATACATTTTATGCACCGATGCATCAGTAGTGCATCGATGCATACCTTCATTAAAAGAAGAAATTGACTTTTCTCTTGGTCTAAAGAGTAAACCATTAGAGTATATTAGTTATGATACTGATATAGATCTATGTATGATTATGTAGATATAGAACGTGATCCCGTTCCGAATCAACTGAAGGATTAGAACCGAATCAAAGCAAAGCTAAGGTTAGTGCAATTGAATTTGTACTTATATTATTGAATAAACATTTGGCTTGCGATGAGCCAGTGATGGAGTTACTATGGTAAGAAGTAACTCCTAAAATGTTATTTGATTGGTGATCAATGTTATGATTTGTGTGATTATGAGATATATAAGTTATATGGAAAGTATATGTGAAATAAGACATGAGCTTATATGAATATGTGATATGAATAAAGCTATAAGAAATGATTTATGTGAATACATGCATTTGTGATGCGTGTTATATGATATTAGATATACGTTTACACATACATATGGTATGTGACCGAAGAGAATGAAAATGTGATTATAAGATCAATGATTACACGTACATTTGGTACGTGACTGAAAAGAAAAGATATATGTTCATAAGAGAAAGGATATGAATAAGTAAATTGAACTGTTATGAATGTTAATGCCCATGTTATGTGATAAGAGAGCTAGTGGTATAGTTGGCATGCCAAGGGTCGAGGGTTTACCTATGTTCTTCGGAACATATGGACTGTTTACCTAGGTTCTTCGGATCTATGGACTGGTCCTTCGGGACGAATACTGAACTAAGGTTCGGTGCCCCATGAGGGAATTGATACGAGCTGTGGTGACAGCATTAGTGCACAACCTCAATGTACTCACATACCTTAAGTTCTCAATAGTGTACATGGGCTAATAAAGAGATCAAACAAACATACTGAATGTGATATATATACGATGGGTTTATAAATGGTTATCAAAGGTAAGTGGTTTGAAATGTGTTACATGAACCATATGATGTTATGCGTGTTTCTTAATGATAATGATGGTATATGTTTATGTATGATTTATATTATATGAAATATTATATGTTTTATATGCCTCACTAAGTCTATGACTTAGCGTGTAAGTGATTTACACGTAGGTACCAAGAAACGAGAAGAGCAAGAATAGAAGTGGCAAAGACAATATCATTACTAGAAGATCAGATCAGAAGTAATTGACAAAGTATGTACTTGGTTATGTATAGAATGTTGGCATGTAATAAGTGTTAATTACGAATACTCTGATCGGTTTTGTATTTATGGTCTTATGTAAATTAATGTATTTCGTTTTAATGAAAGTTTTAAAAATTCCCGGGATTTTCTATAAGAGTTAAAGTTTGAAAAGTCAATGTGACACATCAGACTTGTATTTGGGTTGGATATGAGTTAAGGGTGTTACATATATAATGAATCTACAAATAAACAAAATTTCTAAATACATATATGTCTATCATCGTAAATTTTATGAACTTTAAAACCTTTATGTTTTGTTGTGTTGGTTAAACTGTAATCCAACCGTTAATAACGATTAACCATTTACGATTAACCATATCTTAGTTGTGATTAATCATGTCTTAGTGGTAGATTACAATTAATAAAATTTAGTAACTGTATAACGATTAACCAACCATTTAGGCTAAACAGTACAATTAAGCCATTAACACCCCTCGTTCATTATATTCATAACTTTCATTGTCTGCTAACGTGCACCTCCCATTTTTATTTTGAAGATTGAAGAACACGTAGCATGGAAATGGAGACTTAAGAGGATTAAAAATTATGAATAATAAAAGCAATTCCCTTCCCATGCAAATCCAAATACATTAATTTTATTACAATCAAATCCTAAATTCCCACAAATACCAACATGGATTGTCAACAGAAACTCTCCGAAATACTAAAACACAAACCCTGCAAATGCAAATATTAACATCATCAAATAACTTCAGTCCAAAAGCTGAGATTACAAAGGAATCTCACCAACTCCCGAGTTGTTTCTTATTGAAAGCAGCCATGCCATGAAGGCAAGGCAAGCATCGATAGCTCAGCCAGATGCAGTCTTTTTCTGCTGGAAAATTACAGCATAGACGGGAACAAACACACCGATGCTGAAGGCTGTAAAAACAGCAAGAGACATTTTCAGCTTCTGATGTTTCATCCTATCCAAGTTGTACATATGCTTAGCATGAAGGTAATACGGTTCATCATGCCCATGACCTCCCCCCATACTCTTCACTCCAGTTGAATGAACCCCTCTATTAGCTGCTGCCACAAACACAAAAAAAATAGCTCTCTTGATTTTAAGTCTTACACATACTATTACCAAAAAAATATAGATAACAGCACAAAGGCTGAAGTTCCTACAAGGTTTCTTTCAACATTTGAGGCTTCTGGCAAATGCCAAAAAGCAGACGAACCAAAACAAACACAACTTATACCACAACCAATATGCAATATGGCCATCTAAACATAGGATTCATTCAAACTCAAATTACACTCCAGAAATTGTTTTCCACTCTCAAGTGGAAGACATTCCACCCATAAGTCATGGCAGTTTATTTTGCACCACTGTCAAAGACAACTCGGAAGAGGTTAAACCACAACTAAGTTAGCAAATCTAAATTAGAAAAAAAAATAGCACTGAACAAAAATAGTAGATCCTTCGGTTTTGAAGAATACAATTGTCAAGAGAAAATTATTTATTCTACTTTCAATTAGGAACAAGATAAAAGGAAGTCTAAAAGTCCTAAATAATTAGTGAAGAACAAGGCTAATCAGGTCATCCACTCGATCTTTTGTTCATTTCTTCATTTTCAACCTTTTTTATACATATTCCACCATAATTGTCACTCCTATAAATCCTCACCAGCATATTTAACTTGCATATACTTACACAAATGTTTGTAAATATATAGAATGCTTAAATTCTAATAAAGTAAATAGACGGGATAAAAGAAAATAAATATAAATTACAAGACAAGTATACTTAAAAAATGCATGAATAGATATAGAAAAATATTTCAAAAGTTACCCAGGCTAATGGTGTAAGGACATCCACAAACTTCTTCTGATATGCCTATACTGAAAGCTATAATACTATTGAGTATGAAAAATAATATATATGTGTGTGTGTGTGTCTAAATATGAAACACTTAAACAAATTGGAAAAGGGGAAAACGTCAAAATGTCAGAGTCAAAGCAAACAACATGCAAGAGTGTGCTCTACATTCATTTGCTGAGGAAGAAACATTAAGCATCAAATTCAACTAGAGAGTGCTGAAAAAACAGCTGGTGGTCACCATAATCAGAACAAAGAGTTTTCCAGAATAAAAAAAAAAATGTTGAGCATGCATAAACACAAGAGGTGAAGGTTGGATAAATGCAAAATAAGAAAGAGTCGCATACACGTGAAAGTTGAAAACAAAGAATGATTTTTTCTATCATTTAAACAAAATTCCAGCATGTAAAAATCACAGAAACTTCCTCGTATCCATTGAATAGCATAAGCAGCCATTTTCAAATGTAAATATAGACTAGGGCACTAAGGTAGCTGCTACGGTTTATACAGTAACATCAAACAAACAACACCAGACACCTAAGCAACCCACAAAATTAATTAGAAAATAATCGTGAATTCGTCGAGTCGACCATAGTATTCACATTGCAATGTCATTCCCCAGAAAATAAGATAACAAACACGCTGCAATTAATACAAGAACCATTTAGCGATCGTCGAGGTTTTTGAAACTAAAATATAAGCAAAAGCAGATTAATGGACAATAGAAATCAACATCCTATGACCACAAAGCAATTCAAAATGAATATCTAAGCCTATTTAATAAATCCCTTAGGTTTTTCTTTTTAGAAAGAATATGGTTATACAAAATTATGATAGCCTTTTACCCTCATAACATAACGTTCATTTAGTCATCGACATAGAACATGGGTATTCAGAAGCTAATCAATCTAACCAATACTCAATCCCTTAAAAGCATGTATAGAACTTAATTGTATGAATGTGTTTTTATATAGACATGTCATACAATTTATAAATCCAATCAAGAACCCCGCAAAAAAAAAAAAAAAAAAACAGCTACAAACGAATAAAAAGGGGGGAAATACAAATACCAATTAAGCAGATCTGTATTAACAGTTATGACTTATGAACCCTCCATTTCAGCTAAATTTGAATTCCCAACACTCAGATGGACATCTTACATTACTTCCCTTTATTTCTCAGCCACAAAAAAATAAATTAAATACAAGAAAAGAAAAAACCACCAGCGGGTCACTAACCGGACTTGTGGAGAAGTGGTTGAGAGGACGAAGTCAGAAGCTTAGAAGCCGATCTAATTCCAACGTTCAACGCCATGGACTTTCTCTTTCCACCAAAAGAATTTAAACCCGAACGACTGCGTTTCCAGAAATCGCTGGCCTTTCACCTATTCCACCACCGGAGCTGCCGACTGTTATAATCTTATAATTCAAACGTGTGGGATTACACACGTGTGATTGGGGTTGAGTGGACTGGGCTTTAACTTTATGAGTTAAATTCCAGTTATTTCATTTCTATTAATTTTTAATTGAAGTTTTTTGTCAAATTCTTAGAAGATGGTATCTAAGAAGTTCTTACTTCTAAACCGATCCTCAAAATTTGATTTACTATTTTATTACTTTTATTAATAATCTTAACTTTTAATAACGTTAAAATATTAGATTGTTTAGATGAAAAATACATAAATTCATTAAATAATATTGAAAAAATTTCACTCTGATAAATTAAAAAAAGGGAAAAAAATAAAAAATGATGAAAATGAATAACATAGTGAAGATTTGAATAAAACCAAACAAGTCTATACGAGTCAAATAGAGAGAAATTAGTAAGGTCAGTTAACTACTTTTTAATATGTTTTTATTTTTTATTTTACATATTTTTTATTGATAATTAAAAAAAAGCTTGATAAAAAGTGATAATATTATTATTAGTACGTAACATATATTATTAGTACATTATTAAGAGTTAACCTCATTAATAAAAGTATAAAAATAGTTTATATAATTAAAGTTCCGATATCAATACAGGAACAAAAATTATTTAGATACCAGTTTGGGATAAGGTGCTTAGTTCAAGTACCAACTTAGAAGAAAGTGCCTAATTCAAATATCAAGTTTGAAAAAGGTGTATACTTCATATACCAAATGTATATTTAAACCATTTATTTTGTTTATAAAACTTATAAATTAAATATATAAAAATTGACAATCATTGAATATATACATCTTTATATTAGCCTTGATAGTATTATCTTTCATCGTTGATAATAATATTTATTTGTATATGTTATTTATTCAAAGTATTTTGCAAACATGTGATATATTATTATCTTGTTAAATTATTAATGATAAAATGATATAATTTAACGTAAAATTAAACATTAATATTAAAATTAGTAAAATAAAAAAAATTAAAAGTATAAATAAATTAATGTTCAAAATTTGATGATATGTAGAGTAATTTTTCATAAATTTGATATATATATATATTATTAATCTGAGTAGGTATAAAATAATAACTATTCAAAGATAATTTTCAACCATTTGACATTGAACGTTTACACTCTTAAATAATAACAATTATTTGGTTTGTGTTTAAAATGTCAGTGCTAACACGTGAATTTTTCAAGAGGTCACTCATTTTAGTATTAGGATAAATTATACTAGAAACCATCCAACTATAATCTATTTTCATTTTAACCATATTTTTTGAATTCTTTTCAATCAGACCACTTAACTACTTAAATGCATTAGCCGTTAACATTTTTTTTGAATTAATCATTCAATTGTTAAAATAAATTTATCTTTTTTTGTCATTTATATTAACATATCGTTTTTAAGCTCTTCCGTTCATTTCTTTTGAAAATCAAAAGTCAGATTATCACTAAATTTTAATTTAAACGGTTTATTTTTTAAAAAAAAAATTCAAATAAATAATTTTATACCCAAGTCAGTTTGAAGAGAAAGAAGCAAATGATTTAAGAGTTTAGATTGAAAGTTTGTAATCAATTCAATTCAATTCAATCGGACGGTGGGCGACTCTAGAATGTAGTATATGAAATGGTTTTCGAAATTCCCCTTAAAATCTTAACTCACTCTCGACTCTCTTCGGACGTTCCCGCCGCCAAACAAACCTCTCCCCCTCCTCCTCCGGTCCCTGACCCAATTCTCTTCTTGCCTTCAAGTTTTCGACAGATTAGGAGATTAAATAAGGTAACTTTGAAATCCTAAACTTGAAGATTGATTTGTACTTGAGTCATGGGAATTCCGGTTATCTTGTCTCTGCATCTGCGTCACTCTACTACATTTAGTTTTCTGTTTTTCGATCTACTGATTGTTATGCCGTCTCTTCTATACTCCCTCTCTGTTTACTTTGTTAAGGAGGAGAATTTGTTTAGAAGCAAGTATTATTTTATTTTGTGCAGCATATTTATTTTATTATTTCTGCTGAATACAGCAAGTATTATTTTATTTCAGTACTTTTAGGGATTTTGGGCAGCACAACACAAACTTGGTGCTGTGCTGCCTGTGCTGGGAAGCAACCGTTCTGTTGGAGAAGCCTATCTTAGTTCCTCGACAATGAACAAGCAGCTGCAACAAATCATCCATATTCCACCCAACCCACCTGTTTCCCCCACCAGCCAACCGACCAGTGAGTTCATCAATTTTCATTTCCCTGTTTTTCTTTTCCTTTTCCTTTTCTTTTTCTGATTCTTTAACTGACGAATGCATTATACAGAAAAAGTTTATGCTTCCTTAATTGAACCTAAACATGCCAATACTGTTATAAGGTAATAATTTACCACTTCTCTTATTGTTGTTGGTGTTATGATGATGGTGGAATGGATTTTATAAGCAATACTGATAGTAATTTTCTTGAATGGAATCGGACGGAATGGGAATGATAGGCGACTTAATCAGATTGCACCGCTTCAAAATCTCCAGCATTTGAAGAGGATTCACAAAAAGCAAATCCAAGGGGGTTAATATCTGTTCTTACATAATTGTACTTTGAAAATTTCTCCTTTCTTTCATTTCCAATACTACAAGCCTTCATTCAAATGCTCATAATGAATGTTTGTGACAATTGCCTTATGTGACAGGAAAACCAGAGTTGTTTGTCATATTATGTTTGGCTTCTGAAAATGAAACACAATCCAATCCTATGCCATCGGATGTGGAAGATGTTGTCAATTCCTACAACTTGACTCCTTTTATTACCGAAGTGGGTTTTCTTCTTTTGTTTATCACATTGTAACATTGTTTGATCTAAAACCCATTTTATTTCCTACTAGTGGGCCATTTAATACAAAAAAAGAGTATTAAACTTTGTGCATAACAACAAATTATAGCCATGGCTTATTTCTATTCCTTTATGCGTAACAGAGGTGTGAAATATCAACAATTGATTGAAAAGTCTTAACTTTCTCATTTTATGGCTTTTTTGTTTCCCTTTCGGTGCTATCTATGAAGTGGTTGATGTCTCAATTCTTAGGACACAATTTGTACCCTTTTGTTCTGTTTTTTGGTACATGTGTGTGCCTCTCTCTATATGTGTTTCCGCACACTTTGTCACTGTATGCTGTTATTACCTTTTCCGTTGCTACATTGTGTTCATTTATGTTATTTGATATGTCTACTCTTTTATTTTTCTCATTCTTATGTAAAAATTTTCATATAATTGAAGTCATGGAAGTTGGAAGTTTTATTTGAACAATTTGGTCTTTTCCACGACATATTCGTTTAAAATATTTATATTTGAAGCATGGCTTTTTGGATCTACATCAACTTAGATTTTGTTTTACATGTACCTAAATGACTTTTAGGTTTGCAAACATGTTGCATTATCAAAGAAGGAGTGGGAAGAACAGTGCAAATTATGGCCAACGTCATATCATCCACCAACCTAGTAAGCTCTACATCTTTGGTTTACATTTTTTTGAGTTAGAATCAGTAGCCATTGGCTATAAATTCTATAAAACATTGATATGATGCTGAGAAAGGGTATGCAACTGATGGTCATTATTTTGAAAGGGTATGAACTGTGAGGAGGTGCATGATGTCCAATTTAAAAATATTTAATCATTTAGGGACCTGTTGCAAAATTGAGGTCTAGAGTTTTTGGGTTCAAGTCTTTTAGTTATAGGATGCATTTGTCCCTGAAGCTGACATAGTCCAAATGTTTGCTTTGACGTTTTGGATAGACTAATTAATTCCACTATTAAGATTGAAACATTGTATTAAGTTTTAATGAGAAGCTCTAGAAAGGTGTTCAATCTAGAAAAGAAAAATAGAAATTATTACTTAGAGGAACTCCCTGGAGATATAAATGTTGCGACATACAACAATTTCATTAAGTACTGAAAAAAATATGTTCTTTGATAGTGTGAAGCAATATTCTATTTTTTTTTGTATTTTCTTATTTGTTTTATTGATTCATGAAAATTCTTTGCACGAGAGAACAAATACAATAGGATGGCAAATGATGTTCATGTATTTATTCAAACAAAGAGGTATAAAAAAATTAGCTGACCCTATTTCCATATGTAATGGGGTAAGGGGGAGGTAGGGTAGTAGGCTGCCCCCAACGCTAGGTTGAGAGCAACTTCCGTGGAAGACCTCTAGCAATTATGAATTGCCCACCGTGGGACTCGATCCCATGACCACAAGGTTAAGAGCCTTGCGTTCTACCAACTGATTTGGAGGAGACTAGTGGATTATAATCACTATGTAAAGACTGGCTTCGGTTTCATGGGAAAATTTTTGAATGGCATATTGTCCATTACCATTTTGGTGGGACTTTAGAGTTGTAAATTGTGTTTGGATTCTGAAATGCTTAGTATAGTTATTGGTGGTGCTGAAGTTATTTGTCTTTCATTTATATTTCTCTTGCAGCTGGCACTATCTGTATTATGTTCCTTATGCTTGCTTTTTCTCCCTTTTGTTCCATTTGCAGCAATATTCATGGCATTACAGGGTTTAATGAAGAGGATTCTAAATCAGTTTTCAGTTTTATGAAGTCCACGATAGAGTTGGCGAAATCTGGTGATCATTTGGTAATTATTTAATTATTTTTCTTATGCACTGGTTTTATGTTTTAAGGATATGTATGAGATACTTGGAATGCATCAACTCCAGTCCATTTACAGTAGCAGAATCTATACACCGTCTAAATAGCTTGTGTTTTTTTTGGTTTTTCTAGGAGGTTTATTTCTGCTGTAAGGTGTTGTTGTTGTAATGGTCATTTTGTACTGTTTTTTCTTGGTTGGTAATAAAATTTTGAGGCACTCTTTTCCTCCTTCCAATGTCCGTCAAGATACCTAAGTGTTTTGACGGTTAAGAAAGGGGTTTTTAACGAGGCCTCCCTTTCTTATCAAAAAAAAAATTTATAGTATAAGGATTGATATATAGTAATTTCTAGTAGGTTAATGGTATTTGGATCCTATGATTGTGTTATAGAAGTGTTGAAGTGGACTTAGAGAAGATATATGATTATAAAGAAATCAAACACATTGACCGACAAAAGAAAAAGTAGTTTATCCGCATGATTATATTTATGAAGCTTATTTTATATACAAACAGATATAAAGATACACACTCATAGATATTGTGCCTTACCTTGCTCATGCGAGTGCCTTTTCTCGTGCCTTGTGCCTCAAGCAATATAAAGGTTCTAGTGCCTATAATTTGCCTTGCACCCTAATAAGAAAGTGCTAGAATAATCTCTATAATGCTTTATGTTGCAGAAGGATCAAGGAAAAAGGACCTAGTGTTCTGCCTTTGATAGGATCATAAGACTTTATAGGGGGTACTATTGTTATACTCTCAGAGATATTGCCCTTACCTCGCTCATGTGTGTGCATTTTCTTGTGCCTTGCATCTTGAGCAATCTAAAGGTTCTAGCATCTAGAATTTGCCTTGCACCCTAAGCAACAATGTGCTAGAATAATCTCTGTAATGCTTTATGTTGCAGAAGGATCATGGAAAAAAGGACCAAGTGTTCAGCCTTTGATAGGAGTTTATGGAAACTACTATTTTTATACTTAGTTTTATATATCTTTAAGTAATATTTGTTTTGCTTTTGCTTTTGTTGAACCTCCTTTTATGATATGCTGTTCTGCTAAAACCTAAGAGTTCATCAGAAAAGAGATGTGATGCATGTAATAACTAATGAATTGTGTAATTCTTCTTATGGAATTACGTTAGAGATATAGCTTTTGTAAAAGTTCTTTTAGTTCCTGCTCTGTCATATGGATTTATCAATTTTCAAATATTAATATGTTCACATGGTTGATTGCAGTCTTAGCAATGTCATACCAATACTAAAAGTGACAGAAAGTTGAAAGAACAGAGGAAGATAAATTCTATGTAAACCTTGAACCTCTTATCTCAAGTCTGTTGTTCAGATTGTCAGTGATCACTTGTAACAGATGTTGCAAAGTAATCCATGCGTATGAGATCTTCCCTAATATAAACAGACATATAGTGCAACCTGAATTAATTAGTTCATTTAGAAATCAGTCACTTTTCCTTAGTTTTCAATGAAGTTAAGTATGTCTTAAAATCCATTTTCGGTGGTGTTCCATCCTTTAGTTTCCTTAGGTTGTGGATATTATTTTATTCTTGCCTAATTCTGCATATTTCTGCAGAGTTTCAGTGCTGCTTTGATAGTGGATCCATTAGCTGGGCAGATAATTGCAAGTGCATGTGATGATGTCTGCTCTTGGCATATGGGAACAAACGAAGCAAAGACAAAAACCTGCCACTTCAAACAGTCAGAAGGATTCACTTCTGGTGCTGATGCTAACAGGATAGCAAGAGATACAACTTTGCTTTCAAATGGCTTATCTGACAATCTCCAAAAATGTGACACCACAGTTTCTTGTTTAAACCCTTGGCAGTTTTCACAACAATCATTGGATACAAGTCCTTGTTATTGTCACCCATTACGACATGCTGCCATTGTTGCTATTGAAGCTTCTGCTGCCAGGGACCGACATCTGTTCCCTTGTTCTGGGCACAGTGAAAAGTTGTATGAAGTTGATTCTACTCATTCTTCTCCCTCAGGTTCTCCAGAAAAGAGACAAAGGGTGACCCTTGAAAATGTGAGTTAACTTTCTTCTGTTTCTATTGAATATCTGTTCTGGTGATCCATATAACAGAGATTAAGGTGGGGGCATATCTTCCCAGTTTTGTTTCAAAATTCTACTGGAAGCATCTCTTTGTTGGTACGCAGAAAATATGTTGCGTTTTTTCTTCTTTTCTTGTATATTTAAAATGATGCTGATTGCCAACGTTATATGTGTGCCACTTTAGAAGACAGATAACTGGATAGCTGTATGTCTTATTGCAGATGTGCAGTATTCATTAGGTTTTAACAAATATTATACCAATAGGGTTTTTCTAAATAATAACTTCTTGATGAGTGATAGCAAATTGTCAAATGTGTTATTTGTTTTCTTGAAAGGTTTATTTTTACTATTTTTCATTAGAATACTATGTGAAATAAAATCTGCACGGAACAAGGCAAATTCGAAGGCATGTCTAACAATCCTATTTTAGGTAAAAAATGGTGGGGAGCAGGATGCGAATACCAAAAGTTCAGACTCCTTAGCCAGGCCTTATCTGTGTACCGGCTATGACATCTATCTTGTCTGGGAGCCTTGCACAATGTAAGTTAGCAAAACTCATCTCTTTTCCTCTTTACATTTGCTGAAGACAAAAAAGAAAACTTGTAGATTGAATATATTGGATGTAGATAATTTAATCTAGTTTGAGGATGAGATTAGGAATATTTAATTTCAAATGCCAAACCTTGTAAATTTCTATTGATGGGTTTTGCTTGCATGTCTCTGGTTAAAAGCACAACAGTTTTGATCAGGGATTTGCTTTTGTTTATATTTCGAGCTGTTTTTCTCATCGAGGGCATGTTTTTTTTTTTTGAAAATAAAACCACTTTATTAAATAGAAGAAAACATCACACTACCCAAGGTCTCATTAAAAAACCTCCCTAATCCTAAATGGAGGAAAAGGAGTGCACCTGAGCAGTGGAACTGAGCAGCAACCAACAACTACAGAAAGAAAGGCATCCAAACAACCTAAAAGTACAGCAATACAAAACCAGCATGCTTGTTGGTTAAGCACTGAGAACTACCTTCCGTATATTGTGTCTTCTGAATTTTAGATATCATATTTTCATGAATCTCTACCAAATACTAGTCTTTAGTATTTGAAATTTATGTTGCTCTGACTCTTCATTTTTTAAGTATCCATATTCAGCACCTGTTTCTGACACAATTTTGGACATGGCTATGGGAATATGACCTTTCAAGGACTTTCCAAATAATGGAAAAACTTAGTAAAACATACATCATGTCTGGCACATACCGTTAATTGGAACACACAGAAGTCCGAGTACTGTAGGTCAAAATAGTCATTGTGATGAAGATGGTACCTAAGTTAAGAAAGAAATGTTCCTCTTGAGCCTCTTTGGTTAAAGGCTTCATTGGTGCATTGCCAATTGGCGGCTATGACTATACTTTTAATTTGAGCTGTAAAGATTGTAAAATGAAGAAAGAAAAGATTTTTGCTTACCTTTAATGTGATCTGATACATTTGATTTTGCGTTTTGAAGGTGTGCTATGGCTCTTGTTCATCAGAGAATTAGGCGCTTATTTTATGTGTTACCGAATCCTGAAGCTGGGGCATTGGGAAGCGTTCATAGGCTACAGGGTGAGAAAAGCTTAAACCATCACTATGCAGTTTTCAGGGTTGTCTTGCCTGAACTTGAATTTCCAGCAGAAAGATAGCTCTTTTGATATTTCCTACTGCTCTCACTTATTTACATGTTCCAGAAATTCATCTTTCATTATAAGAAATTGTAGTGCGAAATGATATTTGAACTGTAAGTCTAGCTGTAATTGGGCAATGATAATTAGTTGATCCCTGATCTTTTTTTTTTGATAAATGCAGAATTTTATATCCAAAAGAAAGCAAATAACCATGTGCATATTATACTACCCCTGTACAAATAAAGAGACCCCAAAACACCTCGAGTTTAACCCCCATTCTACACACTACACTCCCTGCCCAACTGCCAACCATTAATCCTGTGCAATCTGTTCAGCTTCCAACGAACAACATCCCTCAGGCAGGCACCCAGATCAACCCCAAGCCATTGCACACCCTGAAAAAGTTTATATGTTCCTTTCCTTCCAAGTCAGGGCAACACAACCATTCCAAGCCAAACGGAAAACCACCGAAAGCAACGATTTGCCATTGACATTCCTGATCCCAACACAAAACCGGTCTTGATAGACCACAAACATGCAAAGCCCATTTCCAAATATATCTAAAATAAGCGCATTAAAAATGATCACAAGTCTCTAACTCATTCAAGCACAACACACAATTCCCCTATATTAAACCCAAAAGAAAATAATTGACTTCTCGTTGGCAGCCTGTACAAAACCGTCATCCAAATTCTAAATGATGGAAATCGAAGTTGAAGCATCAACCAGGAGGCTTAAGACCGATGCAGCGTTAGTCTGCAGCTGCAACAACCTCGACCACACCTAGGCCTCTCGAGAGGATTCAGAAACCTGCCAAAAAGAGCAATCCTGTAGCACACTGTACACTATACAATGCTATAGAGTACTGGAGTTGGAAAAATAATATCTTCCCTCTTTTAGTGGCCACCGTTCTCTCTCGCTGTAATACGAAGTCTAATATCTATACAGTGGTGAGGAATTGCCCGACCACATTCTTTTCTCAACCAATCCAACCTCACGAAGCCCCTCGTATTCCCTCCTCTGCCTTCTCCTTCTCCCCTCACCGCACAGTTTGTTGGGGACGCATCTCTCCTGTCGTTTCAGACGAATGATTCGCCCTGTCGTTTCCGACTCTCGCTTAAGGCTTTGATTTCTATGATACACACTCCTCGAAATGCCCTCTTGGATTTATGCTCTAGTTGTCTTGGAAGACAATGAAAAGCTAAGCGTTTTTATATTTCGTATGAAATGTAAGATTGGAGTGATCAAAACATGAAATGAATAAAATTTGGACATACATTGTTTGGGCTTGGTTTCTTTCATTTCTCGCAGAGTACAATTATTGCAAAGCAAATTAACTTTCTTTTCCCAAAATCCTTATGGCTTTTATATTCATGTTTCGAGTGGCACGTTTTATCAATATGTTAGAAGAAGACCCAAATCACTAATTTGTTGCTTTGTTTTTCCCCTGAAAAATGTTGTCATAGCTAGGCATTATATATTCACATATATTGCTCGAAGGTTTGCTTAAAAATTATATCGAGGTACTTAATCGTTGCCAGGTTTCCTTTCCTTGAGGTTCAGAGATCATTAATGCTCATCTTCTTTAAGCACGGAAAATGATCCAGTGGCAAATACGGAAATATTCTTGAGCGTAGACACATGTATTAACAATATAAAATCTTTAGTCGGCCTTTAATTATAATCTTATGTGCACAAATAAAATCTCAGGGTGGGCACTATCCGAATGTTTGTCTACCTGTTTGAAAGAAGTATGGAGAGGAGCTCACAAAAAATGTTAAAGGGTGATATCTTGGGAGCTGGTCAAGGGATGAACTGATATTTCAGCATTACTACCATAATACCATCAGTGATCCGACTGAAAGCAATTTTAAGCTTTCCATTAATGTCGATCAATTAGCAGCCCTTATGTACAATGATAATGTAGAAAAAAGAATATTTTGGTTTAGTGAGGATGATTTCAAACATTTCTATCAAGCCAGTGGGAGGTCATACCTTTTTAAGGAGATCCTCCAGTGCTTCATTGGAGGTGGATGAAATATTCACATCCTCAATGCTATCTCTTTGTTTTAAAGATTCATTCCCTGCTTCTGTTCACTCTTCTGTCCTTCAAGATCTAAGTTCCTGCTTGCCTATTGATCCCGATGAAGCACTGGAAGATTTTTACTGATTCGAGAAAGGGAAAACATCCAAGGACATGACTGGGATCGACAGGGATAAAGGATATATTTTCTTTATATGTCGAACACAAAGGGATGACGGAAAGTGTGTTCGTGGATATCGAATTGAAGTTCTGCACTGAGGTATCGTACGACGATGTTACTGCAAACTATAAGATATTGCATGAAAAGTATAAGGAGGTTAGAAAGCGGTATATGAACGGAGTGTTATCACGAAAACCGTATGATTGCATCTGCATATTGGACGATTTTCTCAATTCAATTTGTTTCATTCACAATATTAGAATTCAAATTCTAAATCTTGTTACATTTCTGAGTTTCATTGCAATGTTTACATGAGAAATTACGGTATAAATTCGGTAAAAAAAAATTCTATGGCATAGGATGTTTGGGGGTTGGAGTTGGATGAGTAGCGACCTCATGGTAATCTATGTGGTAATTAATAGTCTGATCATCATCATCATGATCCATATTCTCTTCCCATATTGATTCATCAAGTACCACCTGCATAGTGCAGGCTGAGTCTTCATCATCTTATTATGTTACCTTTGGTTTGGGATAGATGTGATGAGGCCATGACATCTCTAGTGATCTCCTTCCTGTAAGCAACATCGAAGACAAAGAAAGTAGATAGAAAGCTGCTGTGAAGAGGCATAATAAGATGAAATGTGCAGGCTGAGTCTTCATTGTTTGTATAACAGGAATAGTAACTTTTCTCTGTCTCACTACATCTCTATACTTATGTAGTAGTAGGAAGATTTTTAAAATGCAATTGAACAACCGTTTAATTAATTATTGTTCTTTGGGTAGGGAGTGAGGAAACACGTGTGAGCCCCATGCAATTGAACAAGAGTGCTTGTGGTTATTATGTGAAGAGGAAAAAAGGCAATGAAAGAAGGGGTTAATGGACCAATGGGGTGAAATGTAGCAGAAACGAAAAGAAACGGGTTCATGTGAAACGAAACATTTAACCCTTACCTTTGAATGATTATTAATCCATGCTTTGTCTTCACTTATGACTAAATTCTCCTGTTGGAATCCCTTTACATTTTATTTTAGTTCAAATATTAAAATCATTATCAACAACCAACCTCCAACCTGTCCCATCGTTATCCATTAATCAAGAAGTGTTTACTTTTTTTGTTAAATTATACTCCAATTAAGATACAATACTACAAGTCTAAAACGAAGAAAGATAACTGTCAACACTTTCTTTTGGCAGTTTTCTTTTAATGTGTTGAATGTCTTTTTGTCTTTCTTGATGATTGAACTAAATTTCAGCAATTGGTTTTACTCGGAGAGAAGCAGGCCTGTAAATGAACCATGCTTGAAGAAACTAACCCTCTAGTCAATGTTCATTTACTTCTTAATTTGTTTTGAGTTTTAATAAAACTAACTGTTTCGATCCTAAAAACTAAACAAACATATTTACGGACATACTATGTTTGAGTTTAATTCATTTCATAAACAAGCCTTAAAATCTTGTTCATGAAAAACACACCATTGAAATAAATTGCTCAACCATTAGTTTTCCTAAAGTAATATGCACATTCGGATGCATGCAAGCTCACGGACAATACGCAAAACAGTAAGCTCCATAAATTCTTTATCCATGGATTAAGCTTCCAGAAATCACTTATATACAACAAAGTATTATCAAGTTAGAAACATGTGTACTTGCAGTTTCAGTCGATATATTAAGTGAGAGAAATATACAAAGTTACAAACAACAATCAAAACTGCCTCACCTTGAGCCCAACTTCAGGAAGTGAATGATGTTGTTTCCTTGGGCTTGAAGGGACGCTCCTGAACTTGGGGACGACAACCTTGAAAATTGGCAAAAATATCATGTAGAGCATGGCCAAAATAATGGGTGCCGCAACAAGCCATCCCAACAACTGCAGCAATTTCCATAAGATTATTTTTCAAATTTAATTCCATATTGATAAGACAAGTCTCAAATAATGAACAATTACATAAAGTCCCAAATGCCATCTTTTGATAAAATTCCATCACCTTAAGCGTACAGGATAAAAAGGGGCCCTTTCCACTTCAAACTATACTAATGTCAAGTTGAAGAACAGAGCAGATTGTTTAAAACTACAGTAAATGGGAATGGGGGAATGAATTATACTATCGGATAAGTTGTCTACAGGCTCATACTTTTTGGACTCTTCAGCATTAAAGCTGATGTCACCGTGGAGATAAGAGATATGGCGGCAATGATAGAATACCTTGGAGAATTACATCTGTGTTTAATGCAGAGTATGTAGAAGGAAATGAATAAACATTCTTTCTAAAAAATGGGAAAACGCTTAAGCACAAACTTAAAATAATGTTCTAAAGAATCTAAACGACAAGATACTTTACAATCTGTATCTAATAGATTCAGATTTCAGCCTTTCTTCAAAGTTTCCTCTCTTTCTCTCTCTAGACTTTCAAATCATAAAGTTTTCACTTTTTTCTTGTACAACTTGTCCCCATAGGATAAACCTTTGCATTATTTATTAATATATCTACATAACAATATTAGTATCATCTTTATGAGATTGATGACACGTTGGAACATGAACTATGATCCATTATTCACATAGACATGCACACCTCCTTGCCTAATTGTTGAAAATACAAGCATATCTAGATGAAGACATTAAAATGTTAAGGTAAAGTTGAGCAAAAAAATAAATTCAGATGACTAATCGATTAACACTAATTCATGATTGCTGCTATCACCCAAACACCATCAGAATAAAGTAGGGTTCCTGGGGAAATCCTCCTATCACCGAAATTTCAAGCTTCTAAGCTCAATTTGATTCAATTAACAGTTTAATAATTCAATCCTATCAAGATTGGCATATCTATCCACCATAATATGAAAACCAAATCTATAAGATGAAATCAAATAAAGTGCAAGGAGGAACAAGCATATGATCAAAAAACAAGATGAACAAGCTAGGAGCAGAAAATGAATACTTACAGCACGGGCAATACTAAAGAGGAGCTCACTCGAAGCTTGTCCAGACAAAACTTTCTTCAAAGCATCAGAAGTTAAGGGGAAATGAGGTCCACCCGATAAAATTTCACCAAAGCGAAGGAAGGGCACCACCAGACTAGACGACAAGGTAGATCCAACCACGGATAAAAGAAGTGAAATGAAGGTCAATTAGCACTCCGAAAAGGAGGGCAAAAGGCTAAAAAGATGGGATGGAAAAAAAAAAAGAAATCACCTCAACTCGATCGGAGTAGCCAAGAAGTTAGTAAGCATGACAGTTGGAGAGTGGCAATGAGATCCCAACAACGCTATTGCCATCCCACAAAGCAAAACTGTAACCCCTGGAGTAATTTTCATTTTTCTCCAGATTATATTATAAACCAATCAAAAGAAAAGCAAAGAAATAACAAAAAAGAAAAGAAAAGGAAACATCACCGCATATTGGGAAAATTCCCAAAGTAATTCCCAGAGCTGCAGAGAATGCCAACTGCCTGGGTTCTGCTCCCCTGTAAGAGGAAACTAATCAGATTTATTGATAAAATATGTGAATGAAATTTGGAGCTGCAGCTTACTTGCGGAGGATCTGGAGAAGAGGATCCACGATCCTTTTGTTGAACCAAATCTTCATTGCCATAATGATAGAAAAATCGGAGATCTTTGATTAGATTTTGCAAAAATTGCTTCTCTCCTGTACCAGATTTGAGAGAGATTAACAATTTTATTTATTTTTTAATCTTCAAATAATATTAATTTCAGAGGAGGAAAATAAATACAGGAAAACAGGTGGAAGAAGAGAGCAATGGATGAACCGTTTCCCCCTTACCGTCTTTTATAAATAATATTTTAATGTTTTTAAGTCGGTGAAAATATAAATAAAATTTGAGTTATTATTTGATTTAGTGAAAAAATAATTTATAAATAATGTTTTACTGTTTAATTAATATTAATTATTTTTTGGATAATAATTTACTTTTTATTAATTTTGTATTATACAATACTTTATTAAATTTTATAAATAATCTAATTTCTTTTAAAAAAATCTGTATGTATTTAACTTTCTTTTGTCATTTATAAAAAGTTAAAATAACAAAATAAATTATATAAATAAATTCCCATCGTGATTGTTTGAAATTATAGTAGCGTGAAAAATTGGCTGCCTTCCTTTGGATGGTTACGTACAACAAAGGTAATGGAAAGACTAATAAAGGGAATAGTTTTAGTTAATTGCACCCTACTCCTTTAAATTATACTCTTTATTTTAAATTAATTTTAAAATTTAAAATTTTCTCATATTTTTTAATATTTTAATTTTAACTTCAAATTATGATTTTTATTTTGAATTAAACCTCAAATCTTTTGACATTTCAATTTAATAAAGGGCATAGTTTTAGTTAATTGCACCATACTCCTTTAAATTATACTTTTTATTTTAAATTAATTTTAAAATTTAAAATTTTCTCATATTTTTTAATATTTTAATTTTAACTTCAAATTATGATTATTATTTTGAATTAATCCTCAAATCTTTTGACATTTCAATTTAATCTTCAAATTATTGATACATGATAGTCATGTCCTCTGCTAATAATATTGTTTTAAAAAATATGAACTACCACATGAAGATTGAATTACCTTATAACGTGTCATAAATGATGATTACTATTATATTACGTCATTAAAATCATTATTTGAAAAAGTTAGTATTATGCATTTTGATTAAGTATATTAGAAGTCTATATATTATATCTAAAAGTTTATTTTAATTCCTCTACTATAAAAAATATTTTAGTCCTTTTACTAATTTTAAAATTTATTTTAATTCATCTATTATAAAATTGAATATTATAGTCATTATTGTATGTTTTAAAAGTTAACATTTGGTCCAAAATCCTAAAATTATTGTTAATTGACTTATATATTTCGTTTTAAACGTATAAAATAATTGAATAAATCCTAATTGTTGATATTACTTCATTTTGTATCAATATAAATGATTGGATTTTAATATATAATTCAAGCGATACAATGTTTTATTTTATTTTATTTAGAGATGTTATTCATTATAATATACTTTTTATAATAAAATTATGTGTTCTATATTTTTTAAAAATAAATTAAAGCGAGGTAAATACATTCTCTTACAGTCTTCAACTCGTTTAAAATTTGACATAAAGATGAATGGGTTTAACATCAATAAAGATAAAGAAAATAGTAAATTTCAAATTTAAATATCCACAATATAAACAAAGTGAATAGTTGAACAAAGCACATGAGAGATGGTGGATTTAAAAACGTGAACCCGTTGCTTATTTCATTATCAGCCAGGTATAACTGATGACAGCCTAATATTATTTAGTGAATTTCGTACCTTACTCGTTTTAATTGGGTAGGGATGTTTATAAATTTAATGGGTAATGAGTAGGTGTGGACGTAAAAGGTCATATTCGTCGTGGGTGGTAGGTAGGTGATGGGTTTAAGACCTTACCCGCTCCGCATTAACTTGTCCACTAACTACTCACCCTATAAATTTTCGATCATTATGAATTTATGTATAATTTATAAATTTTAAGATTTTATAAGACATGACTTATAATTTAATCAAATATTATGATATAAACATTTTTAAAATGGGATACGGTCGTTTCTCCTATCTCAAATTGATGGGTATGAGTAGTTTGGCAGCTGTGGTTTGCGAACTGGAATTTTCATTTTGTCTGCCCTTCCGATGTGAGGTCTTTCCTTCTCTTGTGGGATGGTGTCTCGATTGCTAAGGGAGGTAAGAAGTTTTGGAACGTAGCTTATTCTTTATTTCTTTTTATCGTAAAACTTCTAAATAGGAGGGCTTTAGACGTTTTACAGTATTTTTACTAGTTCTGACATTCATGGAATAGGACAAGGCCTTCACCTACAAATTAAATTAGGTACATACATTCAGCTAATTTGTTGTATGTTACATTAATTTGATTTTCTCCTATGCATTTTAACTCAAATACATTTTAAAAATGAAGTTCATGGTAATTTACACATTTTCAATTCTTATTCTGCTATTTCTCAAAATTAACTCATGGTTGATCTGTGGTCCTAAGATGTTTGATCTGATGCTATCTGCTGGATAATAAGCTTCTTCATTTTTTGTTTCTGGTATAACTATGGCATGTTCCTGTCTGTGTACTTCCTTGTTAACTTGCTATCGTGATGTTGCAGATTTTGCTGAAAGGAAGTCATTCTGAAGAACTGAAAAAGATTAAGTGTGTTGTTCAGTATGCTGTTGTCATGGCGCATCATTTAATTCTTGAAACTTCCTTCCTTATTGATCGGAAGGCAGTGTTCTCTACAATTCCTTTAACTGGAATAGCAGATGTGTTGCCAACAAATCAGGAATCCTATACATTGGAGATTTGTAACACGAGTGCTACTTGTCTCAATGACTCTACTGCTGAAACTGGTTCAAATGAAATTGACATTCCCATCTCCAATGGATTTCATGAAGAAGGTTACCATGTAAATGATGATCAAATTGCGAATTCAGGATTAGAGGATAATTCTGCTTTATCTTTGGACCCGTATAATCCAACCATTTTCTCTGGGTTGTCATCTATTTCCGCCTCTCTGAAGAAAGTAATTGGAAACAATTTTCCTCTTACATCCACTGATCCTTACCGGTCATTGTCAACGTATTTTGGATTAAATGAGGGGGAGACAGAAGTCACAGAAGCAGTTCCCACAATGAAAAGTTCAGAGGTCTTGGAGCAATATGATTTGGAATCTAGATGTGGTCATGATGAAGAGAAATCCCTTGATGATGGACAGCCTCAATCTTTTCCGGTTTCCTCTGAAGCCCTACTTGACTTGAACGCTAATGGTGATAATAATGAAGATAAAATGCAAAATAAGGAGAACATCAACACAATGTTGGATTCACAAAGTATTTTGGTTCTTATGTCTAGCCGAAATGTTTTAAAGGGGGATATGTGTGAGCAAAGCCGTTTTAGCCATATAGTGTTCTACAAGAATTTTGATGTTCCTCTTGGGAAGTTCCTTCGAGATAATTTACTCAATCAGGTCTCTCGGATTTCTTTTCCAGAGTTTTCTTCTTTTTTTTACATGATAACTTGTGCAGTTTCTCCAGTATGTGGTTCTTGACGAGTCGTGGTACTGTTGAGTTTTCCAGTCCCACTGTTTTTGCCTTTTGCTGAGAAGGCAATGTACTATATGTGGTGAACTCCCAGAAGCTCACTTCTACTATTATGCACATCATAATAAGCAGATGACAATAGAAGTTAAACGGCTTCTTAAGCATTTACCTGGGGAACCAGGGGGAAAAGTGGCAAGTGCCAAACCGGGATTGGAATGCCAAAATCTACTAAAAGAGTTTTAATTTCAACCACTGCACGTGGTCTCTCATTTGGAAAGTTCTCGGAGTTTAGTTTTTCCGAACACTATTCATCCTACGGATTATCCAGCTGTGGCCATTCTCTCCATAAGGACTTCCTATATTTCTTTGGGTATGGATTACTCCTTCCATTTCCATTTAACAATAATAAATTACTTTTAAATGTATTATAGAAACAGGAAACTTTGTCCTTTCTGTTTTAGACTTGGGCGTTTTACGTTTTATAGTAACAGCTTGTGATTTTTAAATGTTTGTGGCAATACCCATTAGCTAGGAGTTTGGAAGGTTTATAGTTTCTTATGCTCAGAGACTTGTTACTCTTAGATTTCTTGTTATGTTAATGGAACTGCAGGTTAGGCCCTATGGTTGCAATGTTTAGTTATTTCTACAGTTACCACATATTGTGTCCATGCCTCCACAACGACTAGAGTTTAGCAGGTCAATTAGACCAGATTGGCTAAAGGAAGAATTTGAAAATGTATGTGTAGATTCCGTTCTCACTGTGATTTGATTTCTGACATATTTATTCTGTGGCAAAATACATATCCCCCATGTCCTCTCACTAACACTGATGCATGTTAATATGTTTGAATTGGTGTTGATATTTTCTTTAGGTTTGCACAAAAAGAAAGCTAATACTTGGAGAGGTTGCGACCTTTTTGGATCACATAAGGTCTTAGTTTGAGGGCTCAATTTTAAACCTTAAAGGTTCCTTAAAAGTATTCTCTGATGTTGAAGAGATGCTGAAGCTGGAAGTTTCTGAATTTGAGGTTAGTTTCTCTTGTTTCTGATATGTTATTGGGTGCTCTTGGTTTCACTTTTTATTCATCAATTGGCTTCAAGCAACTATTTATCCTCTTCGGTACTGTGTGAGATACTGTCATCTTTATTATGAGTGTGTGCTTTTGTTTGTTTCCCTGTTTCAACTGATTGTTATCACCAGTGAAACTTGATTGTACTATAATTTTCAATATACATGATATCTAATCAACAAACAAATTGTTGCTCTGCCATGTAGTTCAAAATTGAAATCACTACTTTAATTGATATTTTTTTTGGCTGCAATATTTGGTTGAGCTAATGTGCCTCTAATTCATATGTATCATTGGAAAAATTGCAGCTAAGCATTCAGAATGCTGTTGCAAATAATGGGAGTGTAAACTTGGGTTCTCTCAAACTCAGCTTGAACAGAGTAAGGTGGAACCTTCTTCTGGAATCATTCATTTGGTATCGACACCTGCATTCTCTGCTATTGCCTGATCCTACAGTAGTAGTCATTGGTGCCAACAACAAAGCGGTGTCAGAGCAACTGAAGTTGCATACAAGTAGTGATGATGGAGAGGACAGTGATGGAGAAAATAAACCCGTGGATGATGATAAAGCATCTGAAAATACTGGTAATCTGAAAGCCTATTCAGATTCATTTATTGAAATAAATGAATTTTCAGATGATGAATTATCTTCAGACATTCCTGTTAAAAAATCCGAAGGATGTGACAGCGTACATGGCCGTTCCATTTGAAAACAATGAAAAGCCAACAGCGGATTGTGCGTGCCCCACGGAATCATCCAAGCCAGAGTCCATTGTGGAACCTAATATTTCTGTTTGTCCAAATTTTGGTGATGAAAATCATCAAGCAGAGGATGCACCTATGTCAGGTAATTTACAAGTGGATAGAACAATCCCAATTTCTACAGACCTTAACTACAATGATTCTATAGTTGATTCAAGCAGGAGTGGTGGATCTCCATGTTCACTACTATCCAGTTTACGTAGCCTAAGTAGAGCTCCTACTATAACATCCCTGCATTGGCCGTCCACTGGTTCCTCTGATTCAGATTCTGCCTATAGTCTGAGCATTTCTTCAGAAGAGTCGTGCTTCTCCAACTTTAATGGGTTAAACTTGTTGGATTCTCTAGTTCCTCCTAATGCTCATAACATAGAGGTTTCTCTAGGGGTTTCGGGAACACTTGGGAAGGGTAAATACTCGCTATTTTGTTTATATGCTAACCAGTTCCGTGATCTTTGAGAGCGGTGCTGCCGTAGGAGCTTGATTATATTGCTTCTCTTAGCCGTTGCAAAAATTGGGAAGCCAAAGGAGGGAAGAACAAGTCCATTTTCGCTAAAACACTTGATGACAGGTTTATCATAAAGGAAATCAACAAAACGGAGTACGAGTCATTTGAGAAGTTTGCTGTACATTATTTCAAGTACATGAAACAATCATTCGATTCTGGAAGCCAAACTTGCCTTGCTAAAGTTCTTGGGATTTATCAGGTTTCCTTTAATTTTCTTTTATAATTTTCAAAACATGAAATCACTTTTATTCTTTGCTCATTTTCGTGAACATTTGAACATTTTGCAGGTGATAGTAAGACAGCCTAAAACAGGGAAAGAGTTGTCGAGACATGATCTTATGGTGATGGAGAATCTTGCCTTTGGAAGAAATCTTACTCGTCTGTATTATCTTAAAGGGGCCTTAGATGGTCGATTCAGTTCAGCCGCCGAGGGATCTGGAGACTTTCTTTTGGGTCAAAACTTTGTCAACGACATGAATTCCTCTCCGTTGCATGTTAGTAATCAAGCCAAGCGTCTCTTGCTACGGGCTGTATGGAATGACACAACTTTCCTCAATGCGAGCTTTAAACTTCTCTCTTTTCAACTTGTTCCTTACTCTGACCACCATATACACACGCATATATATAAATCCTCTGTAGGTTGCATCTCATTAATCTAGAATGAGGTATTGACTGACTTGTGTTCTTGTGTTTTCATTTGCAGTCGATCAACGTGATGGATTATTCTCTACTTGTTGGGGTGGATATTCAGGGGCAGGAGCTGGTATGTGGGATAATTAATTAACTAAGGCAGTATATATGGGACTAACAACTGGATACATGGGTCAAGTCTTCATTGGTTGTCCCTAAGAATCTATTGCCCACAGTGATTTCTCCTAGGGAATATAAGAAAGGATTCAGAAAGTTCATGTCCACTTACTTCCTGAGTGTCCCTGATCATTGGTGCTCACAGGGATCCAATGACCCTGTCAGCTCTGTGATACTAGAGATGATGCATTTTCCAACCCAATTCCCTAAATGGTATTTCTGCATAGTTGTTGTATTCTTTGTTCATTTTCCTTTAAACCAATCTTCATTCTTATAGCCAGTTTAAGATTGATGTGTATATATATGGGTGTGGGTGTCATCTAACCCCAGTTTCATGCAATTTTTAGCAAATTTCTGGGGATAGTTTAAGCTACCATTCATCTTATTATGTTCATAAATTTGTATGGTCAAGTGAGAAATGTAAAGAGCCGATGTTTTCGGAAAATTGAATAATCAATGAAAAGTTTCAGCTACCAGCTTGTCTTCTTGGTGCCTTCTGTTTTGTTGTATTTATGTGTTTTCCTTCTTAATTTCTTCTATCTGCAGCCTTTAAATACAGTTATTACCTGTCCTTTTGAAGGAATTATTTTGGAAATATTGCAAATGAGAATTTTTTATCATTTTTAAGTATGTGTTTGTTTTACTATACTTCAAATTGATTTTTGGTGTTTTAAAAAATTTCGTTAAAAATAAGTGTGTAATGTTTTCTCCATTACACTTTTAGGTACATATTATTATATTTTTTTGATTCTTTTATTTTTTAATAATAAAAAATATCATTTTTAGAAAAAAATAATCAAATTCCCCCACGTCATCCCTCTCCCTCCCATCCCCCATCTTTGATGATGACTAAGGGTCACCACCGGTTGAATTTTGTTCGGAGCAGGGTGAGGAACTCAATGGTAGTGGTTGTGTAACGTACGATTAAATGTAGACATCAGAATCATCGGAAAACAACGAATGAAAACTTAGACAACTAACACCCTTTACAGTGCTTTTCACGATGATTGAAGCAATTTCACGGCGGGTGAGAGACCGAGTTTTGATAAGGCAGCGAGACAATTTTGATGGTGTCAACGATGATGGTCACGACAGTGAAATTTTGAGGTTTTTTTAGGTTTTTTAAATTATAATAATAATAAAATTAAATAATTTTTTTTTTAAATTTTATGTGTAACATGGGTCAGAAAACAGTCAAATTTAATGACCATCCAGCTCAGTTGGTAGAGCACAAGGTTCTTAACCTTGAGGTCGTGGGATCGAGTCCCACGGAGGGCATTTCATAATTCGGAGGTCTCTTACGGAAGCTGCTCTCAACCTGGTGTTGGGGTAGCCTACTATCTTACCTCCCCCTTACCCCATATATATATATATATGGAAAAAAGGGACAGCCATTTTTTTTTAATAAAAAAATCTTTAAACACATAAAATGTATTAAGCCTTTCTTTTAAAACAATACTTTAAATCTCTTCTTGAACTGAGAGAATGAATATTTTTTTTGGGTACAAACTGAGAGGATGAGTAGATCTGATTCATAAACTTTTGAAAAATTATATATTAAGATATTTTTTATTAGACTTGAAGGATAACTCGATTTAATTAAATCTTAAAATAAACTATCCCATAAATCTTGTTTTGTTTTGCAATAAAACCATTTATAACAACAATATATCAACACAAATAGGACAATTTTTATGTCTCAAGGAATATAGAGCATATTATAATTAAAAACAAAACTTAATTCCACACGTTCATCGCTTATTTTAACATCAACCATATTAATCAAACCCTAAGCATCGGAAACCGTATAACTAAAATCAAAGACTAGTGGTGGCATATCGTAGAATTCCAGCGGTAGATCGATTGGCGTCGGAGGCAGGACGAGCAGTGATGTAATAATGGCCCAGATTTTGGTCCGCACACATCAAGACATCAGTCACTTGGTGCGGGGCCAGGGTTAGCGAATTTGTAAAGGAACGTCTGCTGTATGCCCCTCTTTGTCCAATAATGGTGAGGCTGTGGGATGCGACACCGAACTCCATTGTTTCGTTTACAGCATTTATTATGCGGACAATGTAAAGACTCTGGTAATCTACTTCATACTCGAACGTTGTATCTGCAACATTCAAAAAACAATTATCAATATTGTCGGATTATTACAAGAGAAGTTGATGCACGAAAAGGGTAAAACGATATATAGTGCATACACGTACCGTTGCTGCTGCATCCAGTTGTTTCTCCAGTATGGCCATCGATCGTGTAAGCATCGGCTTGGCCAGGAGCTATGGTTTGATTGGCTTCCGTTAGCTCTTGCCTGAACCATTCTCCTGAAACGTGTTCAGATTCAGACAAGCTCAACTTACAAAATATATGAACAAAACATATATTTATAATTATATATATATACCGATTATGATTGTTTTATCGGAATCGGGTGTAGGGAAAGGGTAGTCTTCATTTGCTGCCGGCAAAACCACAAAGGCGCCGTGGACGGTGGCGCTAGCCCATGCACTGGTAGCGTGCCACCAGAGAGTCCCTATCTCGTCGTCTAAGTCAATCTGGTAAGTGAAGTTTCTGCCTGGCTGGATTAATTGATTTGAACCATTGTTTGAATCCTCAATGCCCTCCCTACAAAAACACACATATTTGATTCATCATTTCATCATAAAATCCTAAAAGCTGACGGAAACTGTGTAAACGATTGAATATAATCTTACCAAGTGATGGAAACAGAGCTGTTTGCTTGATTGTGGACATTGACAAAAACTGTGTCCCCTCTACGAGCCCGAATCTCAGGCCCTGGAAAGCTGCCATTTAGGGTCAAGGTGTTCTTCGTGCTACACAGCTTTGTAATCTGGGATTCTTGCAACTAATTTAGACAGAGAGAAGAAACCAACCCAGAATCAAACTTCTGCAACACTTGTAAATAACACAACAGAAGAAGGACGCAAGAAACCACTTACAAAGAATTCGTAGTACTGGACATCAGCACAGGATAACACAAGGATATTCAGGAACAAGAGCCCTGTTAACCACATCAACCCTTGCTTTTGAGAACCCATTTCTTTTTCTGTGTATATGTGTTCTTCAGTTCTCCCCCTATGTTTTGAAATATTTTTGGGTTTGATCGATTTTTTAATTACTTATAAAAGAAGAGCTGTTCGGCCAAGTCTTCTTGGTGGTGCTAAGGAAGAGATGAATTATTGACTGAAAAGACGGAAGTTTCTTTTAGATGAGCATCCCAAATCTGACATTTCAAAGCTCAACAAATTTGTTATAGAAAATTAATAAATTTTCAAAGCAAAATGATGGTCAAATCAAACAAATATTAAAGTTGATCCTTTATCCCACCGACTAGTTTGTCCTTTGAAGGCTGGTCTTTTTTTCACGTTTAAAATATTGACTTTTTTAATAATATAACCGACAACGTGGAATCGAGTTGACAGATATTTGTAGCACTAGCAGCCTCCATGTTGGATTTTTATCGATTTGTTAAATTAACGTTATCCAAAACCCCACCACATATTTTTTTTTTTATATTTCTTTAACAAACTAACCCAACTTGTTGTACTTTTAATTATGAAAGAGGTAAATTAATCTCAAGTTCACCGAGGGTCAGTTTAGTGCAGTTTTAGAAAAATAATTTTTAAAAGTATTATAAGAACGAATTTTTAAAAATATTATATAAAAGTATAATTTAAAATTTAATTGTTTAGATTATTGTTAAAAAGTGAGTTTGAAAAATATAATATATATTATAGATATTATGTTATAAATCAAAAATATAGCATTTAAATTATATTTACACTTATTAATAGTATAATATATAAAATATATCAACTTAAATTGTAATAAAAATATAAAAAATATTTTAAGATAACTCATTGTTAATATTTTTATATATAAAATATTTTATTAAAAATATATTATTAATACTTTTTAACATACACACATAAACTTATTATGAAATAATAATTTAAATATTTGTTTTGAAAAAAAAAATTATTAAAAGAACATTAGTAATTAAAATAAATTATTAAGTAATAAATTATTTTTAAAGATGTTAGTATTAAATTATTAAAATAAAATATAAATACATAATTGAGTGAAGTCCATGTATTAATACAAGTAAAATTATAATTTACTTTCAATCATAAAGTTGAAACTGAAAAAACTAGAAATCCTAGCTTTTGCGGTCGGTTTTAAACCAATGCTTCCACCATATTTTTTTTCTTTCATTTTTACCCGTTTAATATTGATTTTACGGTGGAAACGAATTTTTTTACCTAAAAGTACTTTTAGAAAACCACGCCAAACGAAGCCTAACTCGTAGAATCTGATCAAATTATTGAGGTGATAGATAAATAATTTATATAATAATATATTTTATTTCAGTTTTAATTAGAGATAATTCTATAAATTTAATCTATGTGAAAACTAAAGGAAATAAAGTTATAGCTAAGGAGTTTAACCATTAAACCAAGTTTAATATCTAATTTATGATTATAATATTACTATATATCATTTTATTTGTGAAAAATTAATAAAAATAAATTGAGGAGAATTATATATCGATCTTGGACTATAAACACATTTAACCATTGAATCAAGATCAAAATAAAATATATAATTGATCAATTATATATAAATAAATGGACAAAACTCTCGAGATAATGTTCTCGAAGAAATTATTTCACGAGATAATGCATTCCCAAGATTAATTGCTCAAATATGGTGAAATCCACAGTGTTGGCCGTAGGTCGCCATGCCATCCGGGCGACCTACTAGGTATCCATGGCTTCCCGGCGAGCTATAGAGAGAGAATGAACATTTGAACGTTTGCATGTACCATGCACGTGCCATGCACGTCCCCAACACATAGGTCGCCATGCGCTCCGGGCAACCTTATAGCATCCAGAAAATGATGCATGTGCCATGCACGACGTCCAACGGAGAGAGAATGATCGCCAACACTCTCACATAGGTCGCCATGCACGTCCGGCGACCAAGTTTCTGTTCCCTTGTGCCATAGTTGCTCCAGCTGCTCCCTCGTGCCATAGCTTCGAGACTGTCCCCTGCCGCTATCATAGCTGTATTGTTCCAACGTAAAATCAACTGCTGCATGCAGTAATTAGTGTTGCATTATTGCAGCGTTCAACAGTTGAAAAAATTACAGTCTTCAACGTGAATTATATAGATCAAATTGATTGCAGCTTACCAACCGTGCAAAGATCATTATATATTGGATATGAGAGGTTTAGGGTAGAATCATAAGAAAGAAAGAAAATTTGGCGAGAGAAAGGAAAGGAAAAGAAGAAGAAGAAAGGGAGATAAATGCTCAAACATCGTTCGTGAGGCAATTTTTTATTGTTTAATTTAGTTTATTATATGAAATAATTAGTTTGTTAGTTTAGGGTTTAGGGTAAAACATAAATTTAGTTAATTAGTTTGTTAGTATAAATTATTAGTTTGTTAGTTTAAGTTATATTATATTAGTTTGTTAGTTTAAGTTATATATTAGATTATATAAAAAATTAGTTAATTAGTTTCTTAGTTTAAGTTATTAAATGTAAAAAAATATTTAATTAATTTGATAGCGTGTTTAAACGTATATTAGGTTGTTTGTTGAAGTTTAAGTTATATTATAAAAAAAGTTAATTAGTGCTTAATTAGTTTGTTAGTTTGTTATTTTAACTAAATTATATTATAATAAAGAAATAGTTTATTAGTTTAAGTTATATTATAATATATTATATTATATTATATAAAATTAATTTGTTTAATTTATTATTGTTTAAAGAAATAATTTTTTTCACGTACATGACGTTATTCCACAACATTTGCCCACATATAGATTGATTCGAAGAAAGAAACAAGAAAGGAAATGAAAGGAATTGAAGAAGGCATAAATACAGGGTAATTTATTATTTTTTGTTGTTCATTTTTTGTTGTTGTGTATGTGTAAATTAGTTAGTTACTTAGTTTATATTAGATTATATAAAATTAACTTGTTTAATTTATTCCCGTTTAAAAAAATATTGTGTTTAAAAATATTTAGTGTTGTTTTAAAAAAATATTTTGTTTAATTTATATTAGATTAAGTGTAAATTAGTAAGGAGTAAAAATTGAATGGAATATAATCTTAAAATTTATAACAATTAATTAACAAATTTGTTTGATATTTAAAAAAATAAAAAAAATTATCAAACTAATCATTATTATTAGTAATCATTAGTAAATGATTTATGAAATTATCTTATCTAATTTATTTAATCTATATATATATATATATATATATATATATATATATATATATATTATTTGTAGAAAAAATGAGCAACAACTTTTTCACGATTGTCCATTATAATAGACAGATTATGGAAAATGAAGTCGGAGTTGTTTTTCAGTCTGAAAAACCAATAAATATGATGTTCAAAAAAGACATCACATTTATAGAAATGAAGCATAAGATAAAAAGAAAAATTCGAGTTGCAGTGGATGGTTTGAGGTATATATTTATGATATGTCCCAACCCAGTCAGATATGCTGCAGTTCCACTTGAAGAAGATGATGATATTGGAACCATGGTTGGATACCTCCGTATGCATATCCGACATTTTGCATCCGTCATATTGGCAAGAATAGTATCGACCAGTTTCATAACACACACATTCGTAGCGAGATAGTCAACATGGGTAAGTTTTATTTTAAATATTTGTGCATTTTTTACGTGGTTTTTTTAATTGTGGTTTAACACAATATATTATGAAACAGGATACGAACTACGTCGACCAAATTTTGACAATAGATTGGAGAATTTGAAGGTATTTTACGATGATCAGCGTGTTTGGAAGTGGGCTTCAAAAATACCGTGGGAAAAATGGCCACAAGCATACGATGAAGGTCGGAGATACGGACATATGACCACAAACCTTGTTGAGGCCATTAATTTAGTACTAAAAGGTAAACGCCATCTCCCAATATCGAGTGTGGTGAAAGAGACGTACTTTATATTGGCTAAGGTTTGGTCGGATAAAGGCAAGGAAATTGAGAGTCTCATAAATAGAGGTAAAACTTGGGCTCCTACAGTGGTGGAATCAATGGAAGCAAATGAGCGATTGGCAACATCAATGGTTGTTCATAATTTCGACCGAGTTGGTCATACTTTTATCATATCGTGCATACACCGTAACGTCGGAGGAGAAGACCAAACATTTAGAGTTGATTTACGACACAAATGGTGTGATTGTGGTCGTTTTCAGGCATGGAAATATCTATGTGCTCATGCAGTTGCTGCATGTATGTATGTTGATGTAAGCGCATACACTTATGTTGATGAATGCTTTCACCTACGTAGCATATTAAATGTCTACAACTATGCGTTCAGACAGATCCCGAATGAATCATATTGGCCCAAAAAAAGATCATGACGAATGGCTGCCAAATCCAATGCTTCGCAAAAGTCCAAAGGGTCGACCTGAGTCCACTCGTATTCATAACAATATGTATTTCCATGCTAGAGAGAGAGGTCAAGCAAAGAGATGCAGATTATGTAGGGGTGAAAGCCATTCAAAAAACAATTGTCCTAATTTACCAAGATATAGGCCTCATCATTAGTAATCATATATGTATTTCTATGTATTTATCCGGATTTAATTTTGTAATGATTTATAATTCGAGGACTTGAACAGATTTGAATGGACGTGTGGTTCAATTAACCATATTTTCGTTACATAACTAATACCTATCCATGGAACACTTGTTTGGTTTATAATAATGATATGATTTAGCAATGATTTCTTAATCATGATTTAATAATGATTTTATATTTAAAATTGTAATAATTATTTAGTCATGATTAGTAATAATGAAATTATTATTAATATTTAATGATTTGATAATAATGATTAGTAATAATGAAATTATTATTAATATTTAATGATTTGATAATAATGATTAGTAATAATGAAATTATTATTAATATTTAATGATTTGATAGTAATGATTTAGTAATAATTAGTAATAATGAAATTATTATTAATATTTAATGATTTGATAATGAATAGTAATCATGAAATTATTATTAATATTTAATGATTTGATAGTAATGATTTGGTAATGATTAGTAATCATGAAATTATAATAATGATTTGATACTAATGATTTAATGGAGTGATAAATTATTATATTTTCACATTGAAGTTGAATTTATTTAATTTTTGTCGATAAATTATTCGAGCGAACTTTTTAAATAGAGGTACCTAATTGATATGACATTTATAATTCTAGGACTTGAACAGATTTGAATAGACGTGTGGTGCAATTAACCATAATAATGATTTAATAATGATTTAGCAATAATCATTATAATAATGATTTAATAATAATGATTTAGTAATTATTATTAATAATGATTTATTATTAATATTTAATGATTTGATATTAATGATTAAGTAATGATTAATAATAATGAAATTGTAATAATGATTTAATCATTAATAATGATTTAATTTGTAACAAATAACAAATGAGTTTACAAGTGTGGACTACTCGAATTTAAATTTATACATAGTCGAATTTATTAATGATTTCTAAATATTTAATGATTTCATACTAGTGATTTACTAATAGTTTAGTAATTAAGTTTTTTTTTAAAGAGATTCGAACTTTAACCATTTAATTTTTAGCAAATAACAAATATGTCATATTTAAATCAAAACACATAGGATTTTTTAATAATTATATGATTTAGTAATGATTTGATAATAATGATTTAATAATATTAGACAATAATGATTTAATAATGATTTTAATATTTAATGTACTGATGATTTAGTAATGATTTGATAATAATCATTATAATAATGATTTAGTAATAATCATTATAATAATGATTTGATAATAATGATATTAATGATTTAATAATGATTTAGTAATTATTATTAATAATGATTTATTATTAATATTTAATGATTTGATACTAATGATTTACTAATGATTACTAGTAATGAAATTATAATAATGATTTGATACTAATAATCATTATAAATATGTTGAATTTATTAAGGTTATAAAAACTAGTCTAATTTCAATATTTAATTTGTAACAAATAACAAACGAGTTTACAATTGTTGCCGATGCCGGAGTGTTGTTGAATGATAATGTCGGGGCGGACGTCTGATGCGTTGTGGCCATTGCGGTTGCTCAGGAGTATGTTACCCATTCTCCTCATTCATTGGGGGCATTTGAACTGCCATTCCACCAGTTTGTGATTCCATCCCACTTGCAAACGTTGACTGACATATACTATTATTTGACATCATAAATGTCATGTGTTCAAAGTCATACGTCGACGCAAACATAGGAGAGTAGATGGGTGCCTCAGGCTGCATAAAATCTGGTATGTATGCCGGGATAGTAGAATCATCAAATGTGTGATGCAACGATCCCGCATCGCCGAACGATTATGGTGCGCTATTATCCACATCGGTCATTTATGCTTCAAGTTGTTGAGATTAACTCTCACTCCCACTCGATAGAGAGTATTCAGCTTTACCAAATCTTTTCTTAAACCTCAAAAACTATTGCCTATCTACCATTGTTGTCAAGAACGACTTTTCATTATCCCAAAAATAAACAAGGTAAGCCGAAGTCTCAAAATTAAAGTCGTTGTCTTGAATGTCATCAAGAGTTGTCATGAATGAAGCCTTATTGTTCCAAGCATTAATGTAGGTTGCATGTTTCTCAACCCAATTAACATTTTCTTTACGACGACCATCAAATATGTGCAGGTGGTCATGCGTTTCAACCCAATTCACCTGACAACGACCATCTAAGTTTTGGATGAGGTCATGATCCCATGGACTCCGCGGAATAGGTTGGTGGAAGTGGAATTGCCTCAGCACTCTATCCCCAAATTGTATCTCAACAAAAGCAAAATTGATCAATGGTATAACAACACACCAATATTGAAACCCATCTAAAACATCGTGAGACACCAACGCCAAAATTTCTTCATTCATGTATGGTCTCCAATTAAACTGTAAAATTAAAATGACAATAAAATTGATTTAAATCAAATAATATAGTTAATTTAAATAATAATTAATAATAACAGATTATGCATACCTCCTTTTTGGCCTTAATGTCGATCTTCAATATGAACTCTTTAATGTTGTTGTGAACCAACCCCGTGCCTTCAATTTTATGCCTCCATCTGTATATCAATCAAAACAAAAATATAGCCATTTTGTTCAATAATTTTAATCAAAATAAATATTTTATAATTGATATTTTAGATTAAAATAGATAATTCATATTACCTTCCGGCAAGTGGAAAGTTAACCGCAGTTAGGGATGGCAACGGGCCGGGTATTGGTCCCCCGTCCCCGTCCCCGTTTAAAAAACTGGTACCCGTCCCCGTTTAAAAAATCGCGGGGATTTAAACGGGGATCCCCATCGGGTAATCGGGGAAAACCGCGGGGAAACGGGTATCCCCGTTTAGCATAAACGTTTATTTAAAAGGGTATCGGTAGGGTTGTTCATTCGGTGGCCAAACCGACTGAACTACCATTAACCGAATTAACCGAATTTTTTTTCTTTAACCGTTAACCGAACCAATTTTTTTTCGAAAATATTAACCGAACCGAATAAATTTCGGTTAATTCGGTTAATTTTTGAATTAACCGAAATTTTTTAGAATTTTCGAATTTAATACTAGATAGCAAATGTTGTTCCATTTGCTAGGGAATAACGTGATGTTGGTATAGGTCCAGAGGTTGATTTTAATATGGCTAATTCACATGCTTCGCTTTGTCAGAGGAATGTTAAAGCTTGTGTAATGGAGACAGCTTGTATGAGGTTATTAGAATGCAATGTGAAAATGAGGGTTGCTGTCGAAGAGACGAAGACAATATGCAAGTTGCATTGATTTTAAATTCTGCTGGACATAATTTCCAGCTTGCCAATTCTAGTGGTGGGATTCAGGTGTGTAATGGTGTACTGGACGAGGACCCTGCAGCAAGTACACGTTCGTTGGAAGTAGCACAATACCAGCAAACCAAACAGACTTTTCCCATTTAACTAGACAATGTTTGTCTATTAAAAGATATTAAAGGTTCACACGTGATTGGGGCAGTATGGGGTGAAAAAAATAATTAAAAATATTTAAGGGTTAATATTAATATTATATATAAAAAAATAATTATTTTTAATATTTATCGGGTCGGGTATTGGGCCGGGTAATCGGGTAATCGGGGCGGGGATTTCCAAACCCGTCCCCGTTTAACATAAACGGGTTTTCCCCATCCCCGTCCCCGTTTATCATCCCCGAACCCGACCCGTTAAATTCGGTTTTCGGTTTTCCCCGTCGGGTTCGGGTTTTTTTGCCATCCCTAACCGCAGTCCGACTAATCGGTGTCAAAAATGGAAGTCTATGCCAAGTCCATGATTGTAGCTGCAACATACATCTACCGATTTCTGCTGTATTATTATCATTCACGACTAATGACGCCTTGCACATCTCACGATACAAGAACGCCAATATCGCCGATCCCCAGCTATATTGCCTACTATTCTCAAAATTTCTTAGAAAAA